TAAGGGGTGGATAGGAAAATCGTGTGAAGGTGGCTCAATGGTTCTTATTACATGATTATAGATAACTATTTCGATAATTAGCTGGAAATTGAGCTTAGCTTCATTTGTCAAATGGTATTCAGGGGAATGAATAATAATCTTATCATTATTTGGCATAATTATGCAGCCATCTTAGCCTAACCTGAAACTTGGTCTCTTTGGCGTCATCCTGCAATCTTACTCATAACTTTCACATTAATCACTCTTGAAACCTTTGCATTGCAGTAACTACGATGTCATAAGAACATCAGAATCAAGTATCAAATAATCACTCGAGATGCATTCATGAGGTGATTCAGTCGGTCCGAATGGAAGAGCGCCGTCTCTCATGTCTTGCATTCCAAACGCCAAGTAAATTTTGTGATAATCTATCGAATATCTTCACTATGTTGGTGTGAAAAATAACTCCACGTCGTCATGGTTTTCTCTCAAAACCATGCTTTGGAGCAGATGCAATTGATTCTCTACCATAGAAAATGGCAGCTATGATACATGCGAACAAAGATTGTGCAACTTGCCATGCTGTATTAATGCTAAATGAACTTGGAAAATAAATGGTTAGGCAGGACAAAGAGAGCGATACATTAGAGAGTAGACTCACTTGAAACTTGCAGTGAATGCCTGCCACTGCTCTTGCCATGTTAATGTCCCCCCAAATATTTAGAGTCACGAAACTAGTCATCAAGCTATGAAACTAGATGACATAGAGATCTCAACTAGTCAATCGAAACCAGCCACATAGAAATCTCATCAGGCTAGTCACGTCGCCGACATATTCGGATGACATGGAGATCTCAACAAACGCCATGAAACCAGTCATCAAGCTGCTTTCAATACCCTAAAAGAATTTGGTTTCCATCGCCCTCAATCGACTGGCTCGTCCCTCGCACATAACTACTTGTGCAGGAAGATCTGACCAAATGTTGTTTAGATTTTCCTTTTCTTTTCTTTTTTTGAGGAAAATAGATAGATTAGAAGTGAGCGAGTGCCACGTAAATTTTCTCTTTCGACCCACTTCAACTATAAGACGTGATCGAAGTAGGTCAATTAGCTTGGAGACGTTGTTCGAGTAGGGAAAGCAACATGCATTAAGAATAAGAGCGGGTACAACTTGGTCGTATTAGACCAGATAATATTTCACCAGCCACGATGCAATTCTAGCTATTATTAACTCGGTCGTGTTTATTTTCTAGGTACTTGTGGCCTTACATGCATGAATGACTTGGTAATACGTAGGAATGCATGGGGGTCGAACCTTACTGGCTTGCAATCGGAGGCAGTCTACGTTGGGTGGCTGCCATATGATTAAGGAAGTGTACATCTACATAAAAATACACGACCTATATAGAAACATGATACAAAATTGTTTCATATGGTAGACTAGTCATTCGATGTTGACGTCAAGAAGAAGACGTGCTTTCGCATTGATTTGATGTGATTCATGTAGGTATTGAGCTTATTGTCAACACAACTTAATGCGCCAAGCTTCCATGGTACAACAACATCTCTTTCTTCCTGTATTCTATGGAGTCATATTCTAATACTTTGAAAGAGGAACGGTAGCTGTACGTATTTAGCATCCAGCTGCTAAATCAACCTAAAACAATAGAGGAATTGGAGAAGAATTGGAGAAGCATGTGAAACTATATGTTCATATTCGTATATACATGTATATTTTATATATAGTGTACAGAAGAATGAATTATATGGTTCATTGCAAGATTTTGTATAGAGTTATACGAATCTTTAAACTCAATATTTCTTCACACCTCGATCATCATCACGGCTTGCGAGGGTTTCTCTCGCCCATACCCAACAGTCGCCGGTATTCTTTTCCCTTCTCTCTTCTCGTCGCCTTCCCAACATGAATCACGTCGTCCCAGCACAAGCACAAGTCATGCATGACTTTGTCGACGAACGAGGGATGTGAGACCAATCACAATCGTCACCTCCTTTTGTCGTTATCGCAAGCACATGAAGTATGCTTTGAGTCATAGACTTCTGTAGGAGGCAGGTACGATGCCTGCCTACGCAACTTGGGTCTCTGATGCTCTCTTCTCTTGCGTGCATATTTACCATCTAGTTGATTGTGAGTGAAAGCACAACCATACTGTTTCTCTTGATACGCTTCTGCAGGATGCAGTCATCTTGATGTGATTGTCGCATCAGCTGAGTGCGAGCGAGAAAGCGATGAGGTTTGACTTTGGCTGATCGGAGGAGGTCGAAATCCATGGGTGGGTTAGGGTGGATAATCTAGAAGAACATCCAATTACATATATTTGTTTGAGTCGTATGAGATAGAGAAGTATTAGAAGAATCATTTGACCAAGTCAAAGATGCTGAATTAGTACGACATCTTTTAGGTGTTTATCAAAATAGGTGTGTAAGATATTTCTTCTCCTAAAATTTCTATCTCTCCTTTTTTTTTTTGGTATATTTGTTTCATTTATTTATTTGGTTGCCACGCTGTTGATTATTACGTTTGGACGTATCCCTAACCTGTTCAAACCGTTGTTTTGTTTTTTTTTTAACTTTAATTGTTAATTAAAAAGTTAAAAAAATTATAATTTTATATCTAAGTTTTTATGATAATGACACCTTTAAAAGTATGGATGTATTTCAATATATGAGTCTTGATGACATAAAAAATTGATATAAAATTATCGATCGTTGTTGGCGTCGGATGTTTCGATCGTTCCTTCGGTTGAAATATTGGGCAAGTATTTATCTTCATAGATGATCTCTTATTTTTATTATTCTATCTCAACTGTTCATCTCAAATAGCTCCAAACAATCGATCAAAATGGTTTTGATCAATTTTTTCTTCTTTTTTTATAATAAAAACTCATTGATTGGAACCAAAAATTGGAATTGAGCCATCAAAAACCGATTTTGATTTAGTTTGAAATTGACAAGCCATCAAGTTGATTCAGCTCCAATTCGATTTTAGAATCGATGAAGTTTGGTTTCGATTCCAATTCGAGCAAAACCAACTTGACCTATTTGGATGAGATGAGATGAAATTGACCTATCCTTTTAGGTTTCGTATATAATTTTGTAAGTGGTCGTTGATGGTATATGATTTGATATATATATAAGAGTTTCAAAAGTAATAAGTCTTTTTATTTTTTTTAGAAAATAAACCTAATTTTAAAAACAACATAAAATAAGATTATTTAATATAATTCTTTAAAGCTATATTGTCTATACTTAAAACACACAGACAATAAGTAATGCCTTAATTTGTGCTGCAACTTTATGAAGTGATTTTATTTTTGTTATTTCAACACACCACTAATTTTGCGTTCTAAATGCATAAATTTTTGGAATCGTAGTAATATTAAATCTTTGAGAAAAGTGCAAATATGAACATTTGCATCACGATCACGAATCGGTGCTTAGATACTTGTAACACAATGCAGACAATAATAATAATAACAACAACAACAACGACAATTGTGATCTTTTGGTGAGAAAATTAGAGACGTCAAAATCATCAACACCTCTCCTAATTGGATGCATCCGATACAACTTGTTTTTGCTTGGGACACACATCTTTGGGTTTTCAAGTAGTTGTTCCACAAGGCAGTGCTAAGAAGGTAATATTTCCGTCGTCAAGTATTACGGCCCTATGAGTCGCTGTTGTTCTTGAATTGGGGTTAGTATCCCATGTCGTCGTCGTGCTTGCGTTGGATTCACCATGCCAAAGATTAATTACAGTCAACGATGTTGTTTATTTTCTTATGAGACGGGTGTGAACAAGAAAAGTAAGTGGCCAATAATTTGAATGTGCAGTAAGGTTCGTCCCCCCCATCATTTTATCTTGATGTTTGGATTTCTCCATCGACAAGTCCGAGTACGGTTCGTACTAATAACATCACGGTGGAGTCAACCAAATCACGCTAGGAGATTTTGTGTGTGTGTGTGTGTGTCAAAGTTAGAAGATGTAACGTGAGACAAACAATCAAAGAGATGAGCTAAGGATCGGTATATATAAATCAAGTTAGTTGTTTCGTAATCGAAACGACTTGAGAATTTTTCTAGATCGCAATATAAGTTTTTGTGACGAAACTTTGGGATAGTATGAGGTGCTGAGTATCGAATTTGCAAGTACATCACACGATTGAGATGAGATCTATGGACTAAGCTGCCACATTAAAAAAAAGAAGAAGAAGAAGAAGAAGAAGAAGAAGAGAAGACGAAAGAAAACAATCCGAAGTATTATTTATTGATAAAGATTTTGAATAGCAAAATCTGAAGGGTCAAATTTCGTCAAGTCAAAAAAACATATTGGAGGATATTGCCATGGGTGTTAATTTTGCTAAAAGCATAGTTTTGTATGTGTGCGCGGTGTGATGGATGCAGAGAGGCGGATCCATTCACCACCGGAGGTTCCCAAACATCACAACGGATGGTGACATCGTGTGTATCCGATCCCACCTCGGCCTTGGATCCTTCTCCATATCCCACCTTGCCCTTCATACCATCTCTACATTGTATTCTCCCTCATACTCAAATTGTCTTCTTTTGGGTGTCAATAATCATGTATTCATGATCCACATGAATACATGTTTTAATTAAAAAACTCAGATGATTGGACATGCCCAACCCCTCCCTCCAAAATCGGATCAATCCAATCCAATCATTTCATTCTCACTTCTTACCCTCCTCCTCCTCCTATCAGTATATAAATTTTTTTATATATATATTCTTCTTTTATTCATAATATATTTTTGTATATGAATTTGATTTGACATTTTAATCCAATTATAACACTATTTGTAATTATTTTTTTTGGGGGGGGTTGGCGTCTCGGCCACCTGTCATCATTGTTGAGACACCGGGGATGGACAGTTAGTGTGACATGGAGATGCATGTACCATGCACGACAAGGTAAGAAAGGGCCCTTTTTAATCGTATTTTATATCTCTTTATTCTAAGCCGTTGCGCACAAGGCTTTGTTTCCTCCCTCGCGCTATAAATTGATCCGCACTCCGCGGCAGCCACATAGCATCGGCAGGGCGAAGTGGCAGCAGGATAAGAAGAAAGCCGTTCCCTTTCGTGCCTCCCGATCACGGTTCTCTCGCGGGGAGAGAGAGAAACAAAGGTGAGAGCTTGATGCGTATGTATAGCAATCGTTTTCACTTGGTTTCGCCCCCCTTTGCTCCTTCCTCGGAAAATAGATCACCTCCTGCGTTGAGGAGGCGCGCGTGATCGTGTTGTGTAGTCGTGATTGATCCGAAGACGGAGGCCTCTGATAGGGCGGGGAACCAGGAGGGAGCGGTTCTTAGCGGCTGGATTCCTTTTTTTTTACTTCGAGTGGTTTTGGGTGGAGCCGCTGGTGGCAGGTGCCCAAAGGCGAGACCTTTGTTGGATTTGATGCCTCTTCCTTGAGGATTCCTTGGCCTATCGCCTCTTGGTCGCGAGTTGGATATGCTTGGCTCTCCCCTGACTCACATGGCTTCGTTCGAAGGAAGTGGTTCCTTGAATTCGATTCGGTGTTCTTGCGCATGTTTTTGAATTGCTTTTCCCTGATCTGCTGGTTTCGTATGCTAGTTTATATTAGATTTGCTTCACGTCCTGTCTTTCCTTTTTACCATTTTCACCGGTTAATCTAATTGGTCTGGAAAGTAGTATATTCTTGCTGTTCCTCTCGGAATTTGTCGCTTGCAGGAATCTTCAGCTGCCTTTCTGCCGTCTGAATCTTTTTTCTTCTGCAAGCTTTGACTCCCATGTCTAATCGAATATGGTTCTTGATTCCATACTAATCGCGCGATGTTTCCGATGCGCTTCTGCCATTTGGTTACTGAACTCTGCTCGGATGGCCGTTACTTTCTGCTATGCTGACATGAACTTTTTCTCATTTGCAGCAGTACCGATATCGCCTGTGAAGATGAGAGTTGTCAGCCTCGAGGGCGTGATAGACGAATTCGAAGCGCTGACCAAGGACGCTAGCCGGACACAGAGGGAGACACTCCAAAAGATTCTCGAGCAAAATGGTGAAGCAGAGTACTTGCACAAGTTTGGCCTCGGAGGAAGAACCGACCCTGAAAGCTTCAAGGCCTGCATCCCTTTGGTCACTCATTGCGATTTGGAGCCTTACATTCAGAGGATTGCGGATGGTGATACTTCTCCCGTTCTCACGGGGAAGCCTATATCTTCGATTTCACTCAGGTGATGATGCCTTTGGACTCGTGCCTCTTTGTGGTGTTGCCTCCGCCCACAGCGTCCGTCCTTGCTAATTCTAGAGAAGCTTTGTTTGCATTGCCACAGTTCTGGTACCACACAGGGGAGGTCCAAGTTTATACCCTTCAACGATGAGCTAGTTCGGACCACCATGCAGATGTATCGGACTTCGTTTGCATTCAGAAACCGGTATGGGTTTCGAACACAATTAAGGACCAATTTTCTCATCGTATTGTTTCGAGGAACTTGCCATCTTCATCACTGCTACTACAAATTTGATGTCTGCAGAGAATATCCCATCGGGAATGGAAAAGCTCTGCAGTTCATCTACGGCAGCAAGCAGGCAAAAACTAAAGGGGGCCTTATTGCGACGACTGCTACGACCAATGTGTACAGGAGCGAACAGTTCAAGCGCACGATGAAGGATATCCGTTCTCAGTGCACCAGTCCTGACGAAGTTATATTTGGTTCGGACTTCCAGCAGTCCTTGTATTGCCACCTCCTGTGTGGGCTGATGTACTCGGATGAGGTGCAGATCATCTCTTCCACCTTTGCTCACAGCATAGTCCATGCTTTTCGAACTTTCGAGCAGGTGTGGGAGGAGCTGTGCACCGATATCAGAGAAGGGGTCCTCTCGAGCAGAATCACCCTGCCATCCGTACGTGAGGCCGTGTCCAAGCTTTTGAGCCCCAATCCGAGCTTGGCGGACTCTATATGCAGCAAGTGCGTGAGATTAAGCAACTGGTATGGTGTGATCCCGGAGCTTTGGCCCAACGCCAAGTATGTTTATGGCATTATGACCGGATCCATGGAGCCATACTCGAAGAAGTTAAGGCATTATGCAGGACGCCTACCCCTCATGAGTGCCGACTATGGGTCTTCGGAAGGATGGATCGGTGCTAATGTCAACCCGAGTGTTCCTCCTGAATTGGCTTCCTTTGCTGTGCTCCCCAACATTGGCTATTTTGAGTTCATCCCTCTGGAGAAACCCAAGGGGCAGCAGCTGGCGAAAACTGCCTCCACCATTCACTATACAGAATCTGAGCCGGTCGGCCTGACCCAAGTTGAAGTCGGCAGAGAGTACGAAATCGTCATCACCAATTTTGCAGGTATTACTGTGCTCCGCTCTCTTCATTTACCTTTTTTTCTCTTTTTCGTTTCTAGTAGTGGCTGCAAATCTTCTTGTGATGAAGTGCTCGTTAACAAAATTGGTAAGGACATTAGAATCGATTTTGCAATCAGCAGTTTGACATGCCTACCTAGTATGCCAGAGTGGTGCAGAGGAAAGATGAAGAACTTAAAAGGGCAGTTTGAAATGGCCTCATGAACTTTACTGATATCTGTTCATGCTAGCTATTTCAGAAATAAGCAGTCTTGATTTTGCTCCGATGGCTAATTTGGATGTCTGTGTGTCCTTTCGGGCTTTGGTAAGAAGACTTAGAACAGTAGCCATGGGCGTCTTTCAGAGTAAAGGGTTTGGCATTGATTGAAACAAAACTAGTTTGGTCTTACTGTGGAAGAAAAAGACATTGATCGTGTAGGTATCATCATCAAGCTTAGATTGTGACAAATGCGTGGTTTGGACTTAATTGGCTGTGTTGGCATTGGGTTGTGTCCCACCCACCAAGCACACTGTTTTCTTTGGATTCTACCCTGAAACCATTGGTCGCCGGAGCAATCTCTTCTTTATTTTTCACCAAATCTTCCAAATTATAAGTTGTTAGGGATGGATGCACATGTCCTTCTTCTTATAACAGATGCTATCGGTTAGTTAGGTACTGAAAATTTATGATAAACCCAAGTACTCTTTCACTTGGCTTTGCATCTTTGTTTCGTTCATGATAGTGACTTTCTATGACCGGTGAGTCACCTTGCTCTTTGGTCGTCTGTCTACCTCTTCTCTACTTGGCCATACATTTGAGTGGTCAAAATGGGATGCTGAAACCAAACAGAAACTAAGCTCGCGAGTACTGCGAGGAATGTCAAAGCAAACAGATCATCATCTGAAAGCCTTCATTTCCTAACATAATCTCGACTGATCCACCAGGGAGACTTGTGTCGATTCGGTGTCCTGTCATCTTCGTATCTGGTTAAATGCCACCACTAACAGCATTGGATTTCTTTTTCATCCCACGTTAGCAGTAATCTGTGCATCGCCATGGCAGGTCTGTATCGGTACAGGTTGGGAGACGTGGTAAGGGTAGCCGGCTTCCACAACTCCACCCCGGAGCTTCAGTTCATATGCAGGCGAAGCCTGATGCTGAGCATCAACATCGATAAGAACACCGAGAAAGACCTGCAGATGGTTGTCCAGGAAGCAGCCAAGCTCCTGGCCGCGGAAAAGCTCGAGGTTGTGGATTTTACCAGCCATGTCGACACCTCAACGGAGCCCGGACACTATGTGATCTTTTGGGAGCTAAGCTCTGACACAACCGAGGAAGTTCTCCGTAGCTGCTGCGATATCTTAGACCTGTCCTTCATCGACGCCGGCTACGTCGGATCTAGAAAGACAGGTGCCATTGGAGCTCTGGAGCTTCGGGTGGTACGCAGGGGGACGTTCGAGAAGATATTGGAGCACTACATTGGACTTGGAGCGGCGCTGAGTCAGTTCAAGACGCCACGCTTTGTTGGCCTGTCAAACAGCAAGGTGCTGCAGATCTTGTGTAGGAACGTCACAGGATGTTACTTTAGCACCGCCTATGCCATCTGAAACACCTCTTCTGTGTCTCCATCCTGTTCTGTGATGCGTTTCTTGTCTCTAGTCCTGTAAATATTCATGCTTCTTACTGCAAGAACAGTGGTGCAAATCAATTGCGGTTGAAATTTGAATGTACGATGCGACAAAGTCGATTTCTGGCGCAAGCCTGGTAAATCTACTGCACAACGTATACTCTGATGACATTAAATTCTTGATAGGAGACTCGATGTCGTTCTACGAGTGGCCAATGCATGCGTCAAATGATTTGGAAGATGCATGTTTCGTGGAGACCAGGCTCGTGGATTGATGCATTCATACACGGACAGCAGCAATCTCCTCCGTGCTTTTCGACGTTGCCGACTTCGCACGGGGACAGCCCCCCCCGACACGAAGCGGAGAGCCAGCCAGCTGCCCTCCAGAATGATGTCGAGTACATTCCACTCATGCCTCTCCTTGTCGTCGTGGGGACTTCGATGGCGACAACCGAGTTGGTCCATGCCACCATTTCTACTCCACTAACCAACAGCACTGTGATCACGGCAAGGGGGCCCTGAGATTGACATCGATCTTGTTTTCTTCTGACCAGTTCTTCCTGTTTTAGCCGTGGACAAAACATGCCATGGAAAATTTGTGTGGTGAGCGAGAACAAACAAAAAATGTAGTCGAGATTCAAGCTCACCATAAGTGTGGTACTTACACCAGCCTGGAGTAGACGAGTGTAGCTGCTACACACTCTGTTCTCTCGTTTGTCCGGTGCTGGTTTCTGCACTCACGAGCTGCGTTTCGCAAGCCGGTATACTCGTGTCGGTGGCGGTACGTGTAACCTCTCACTGCGTGTGGGCATCCGCCGCCCACGACATCGTTGACCATCTCTGCAAGGCAAGAAACACGACGAGCTAAAGCCCGATCCTTGAAATATGGAACAAAGCGACCAACTGACTCGTCCAGTTGGGTCCGGCGAGCTCTCTGCACGCGATGCGTCCTCTTCGCGCATCTCGATTCCCAAATACGCGGCCCAATGGGCCCAAAGTTAGGGTTTGATGGGGGTAAGCGGGCCTACCAGTCTAATGCGCCCAATTGCCAATAGCCGATCAATCGATGGAGAAGAAGATATAAGATGGGGTCCGAGATATCATGAGTCGTGGACTGGTGGAAGTTGCGTTAGGAGATTATGGTATCCAAAATTGAGGATGAGTGAGTAGTTAATGGATCTAACGTTTAAGACGAAGAACCGGAGAAGCATGTGAATCGTGACGTATTGTCTTGCAGCGATAGATCCTAGCTATGCATACGCTGATCGAAGCGCATGAAGGGATCCATAAGGGTTCTCGAACAAGAAGATCAATGATAGTATAGGCATGATAAGTTTAGACTTTGCTTTTCGATCTTCCTTAGCTTTAGAATTAATATAATATACTGCAACATCGATCGATCTTATTGATTAGGAGCAGACGAGGGAACTTACAACTGCATGTCGAAGCTACCTAAATCGACAACCGGGAAACTCGGATCCCCTCTGCTCTCTTCCTTCTCCTGACATCGATATGCATTTAAGAGCGAGCAGAAATCTACTCCTTACATAGTGTAAAATAAGTTGGAGCATGAAACTGAGAATTCTCCGAATTGTGTGTCGAACTCCAGCAACCTGATATCTGCATCCACCGCCGAGTTGGGTGGCGTCAACGAATCAGAAACGTAGGAATCCGAAGCGAGAGGTTCAAGTCCGGCCTCGGAGTGACACAACTGGCTAGGTGATCCAGAGATGTCAATCAGCTCGGAGGCGGACGGGGATCTACCAAAGCAGCAGTTGTCCGGTTTGGACGGCTGCGACGAATAACCATTGATGCTCTCAGGCAACGTGGCTTTCGCCGTCACGGATCCCAACCGGAAGGAAAGGGAGCTCTCATGAGTATCCAAGTCCATGCCGGTTTGGAAGTCCATAAGCAGGTCTTTGTTCGGCTGCTGCACGCGCTGATCATTCTGTAGCCGACGATCGGGCTGGTTTTGTCGTCGCTCTTGTGCCGATATGCTCGCTGTCGTTGGCACCGGGAGGCCTCGACAGCACGTGTGGGTTCCCTGATAGATGACGTCGAAGGCTTGTGGATCCTCATCCGATCGTTGCACTTGTTTTGTCGCGAAGCAAGACTTGGTGTTACGATCCCTACACCTGTAGTAACTTCTGCAACGGAAGCGTATCTATTAGCACTACGTGGGAGGCGTTGAACCGTAGGAGCGAGAATTACACGCAGGATTTGACCTTTGAAGGTGAAAAGCAAAGATTGATTAGCACTGACCTTGAATGTTTGGATCCCAGGATATTTTTGTTCCCGTATTTTCTCCAGCTATAGCCATCATCAAGTGCAGCTGCAACTCCTCCTGAACCAACCTTCACCTGGATCTTCTTCTTGGGCAGCGTCTTCCTACAAACCAAAAGCATGGTCACGTAAGCTTTGAAGTTGATAGATGTGTAGCATTAATCCAAACATTCTAATATATGTGTACCTATTCTTGGACAAGTTGTTGCAGTTACGATGGAACACCGAATCGAAATTGCCAGCCGACGCGTCCTTGTTGGCGGACCGCAGAGGGTCTTCGGGGACGGTGTTGGGAAAGGCAAGCTGCTGCTTAGCTTCCGAGGTGCTCGACCCAGCGATGTGGATTAACTTATCTATGGATGACACTATGTTGGATGCGAGAGACTTAAAGGATTCAATAGGAGAATGCTGATCGCGATGAGCCACCAGTTGCAACGCTAGATGTTGCGCTCGAGCAAGCTCAGCAAGTAGCAGGCTTCGGTGCTTGCATCCCGTGCTATTCTCCATGCTAGCTAGCTTTCGATGCCAAGTCGAGAAGAATGATGAGCGGGAAATAATGCAAGAGGATGAAGATGACGAGTTTAACCAAAGTAAAAAAAAAAAATGTAGTGCAGCGTAGAAGAAACTAAAGTTCAAATAGCCCAATGGTTCCTACGAGAGATATGAAGAGAATAGCTAGGTCGAGAAGTATGGGTGGAAGTTGCTTCGAGAGTGAATGAGGGTGGATGAAGACCAACCACGATCTTAAAAAGGCATAGAATGGTAGACAGAGAAGCAAGTGTGTAGGACAAAAAGCGACTGTCGCTATTTTTATAACCAATCTTGTCTGTCTCACCAAAAGCATTGGTCTCGAGTCTTATCTCCCAAGGTTTGGCCAGTGGGATACGAGGCAGATAGATAGATGCACTTGGAGTGCATGAACCACAGCCACAAGTGGGTGACAACATCAACCTGTTCGTTCGATTACGATTTACACACCATGGCATCATGTCGTTGGCTCTCCCTGTCAATGTGAGTGTCTTCAACATCAAGTGAGCTGGTCAATTTGACAAGCCTTTTTTGAGGTTCCTCAATAATATTTTTATAGACACGAGAATAAGTGGGATTGCGTGGGGATGCTCGCAGTTGGGACATGCTTCGACCTATCGAAAATTTGTAGAGAGGAAGTGAAGAGAGAGAGAGAGAGAGAGAGAGAGAGAGAGAGAGAGAGAGAGGTGAGATAAGCAGGTGGGCCCTTCGCTAGGCAACCACAAAAAAAAAAAAAAAAAAAAAAAATGTTCTTTTGGAATCATCATCGTTGGCACCAACTAAAGACACCAGTCAGTGACTTGGTCTTCGAATTTGTAATAGAATAAATGTTTTGCTGATTCTCCACATCCTACGTTTCAGCGTCACCCAAATCTCAAAAATCTTTGCTTGGTTTTTATAAAGTTGTATGAATTTTATTATCTGATTTGGTTACTTTCTGTGTGCCAAAGTCTGATCACTTCATTTGATACTTGTTGGACTTGCTGAGTTAGTTTCATACCTGTGGCCATTTGCATCTCCAACGTATATAAATCCAACTTTCTATATATATATATATATATATATATATATATAACACAGGTGAGATGAAATAGAAAGTGAGTTAGAACGGTTGTGATGAATAAAAGAAAATGTAGTAAAGTCTATTGTCATTTATTTTCTACAAATTATGGAATCGCATGATGGTACTTAAAAAGTATTTTCCTTCTATAAACCGGGAATGTTCCGAGAAGGTTGCCGACACGCTGGCCGTGTACAACGTTTCGAGTTGAGGTTCCTTATCCTCTGGAGTGACTAAAGAAAGCGTTTAGATTCCATGCCATTACAAAGATCGATCATGACGATGATGCAAGGAGATGAATTAAATATTGGGAACGTAATGTGGAGGAACGAGTGGTGTGATGACCAAATACATTGCCTTGACTATTCCTTGCTAACTCCCTTTGGAAGCTTGATGAGGGAATCTTTGTTTTAATATTAGGAATCTTTTTGTCTAAAACTATCTCGAGCTTTACATTTTTTTTAGGAATCGATTTGTTTTTTTAGGAATCGATAAGATGGATTTTTTTTTGTTTATATATATATATATATATATATATATTCTTTGAATGAATGATAAGTGGTAAGGATGAGATTTAACCTCGAACACTAGAGTCGACTAATATCTTCGAACAAAATTTAGCAGACGAGGTATAAAATTTGTTTGTCGGACGAGATTTCAAACGCTCGTATTTTAATATATTGATTTTAATAAAATAGAACAATATATAGGATGTTTACCAATTTTATTTGTTCTAAACATGACCAACTTGAAGAATGGTTCCCAAGTGGATTTCTGGATACCAAACGGACTTCTTCATGTACTAATCTCAACAGTGTTGATTGAGTTTCACTAACATCATCATCTCCATTTGTGATCCTTACATATTCGTGGGGTGACCTCTTTATCTTATTCGAGATAAGGAGATCCACCTCTTTGTCGAGATTATCTGATCAAAAAGACTATGCAAAACAAATAATCTAAAACTATAGGAAAAGTGGGTTGAAAATATTAAAAATCTAAAACTCTCATAAACATTAGATACCAGAAAAGGAATTATTTATATACGTAAAAGAGATCTCGGGCACCCAAATACTTCAGCTAGCAATTGGGAAATTTAGTTCCTTGAAATCTGAGGTAGAATGGCAACCAGAAGCAAGCAACGTAATTGGGGTTGGGGCACAGACCGCTCAGCGAAGAGAAAGAGAAGGAGAAAGGCCGAGGCACAAAAAATGAAAAGAGAAAGCGAGGGATCGTGCGATCAACTGACTGACTCTTCAAATTCTTGCATTAGCTCCTTCCCACCTCAATCCACATGATTCATGATCAAACTACCGTACATTGTATATTATTTTGCTTTTAGTGCAATTTTAAATTCATAACTAATCTACTACACAACATACATCTCCTTTTACCATCGACAATCCAGATAGAGATCCCTTGTGGACTAAAGCTATTTTTCTTTCTAGTGAACCTATCTATTTTTGTTTGTTCCTGGCATGTAGTAGTCAAACATGTGCTCATTCATTGGTGATGTACACAATTCACATTTCATTATTCCTTTGTAAAGACATTCATTTAATCATACATTATATATATATATAAATATATATGATCATCTTGAGTAGGCTTCACCATAGGAGCTTGAGAATGATATCCTTTGATGGACCGTATTTTCTCTAAGATCAAAAGTTTAGCTAATTAGTAGAGTGTGTTAGGTAGTAAGTGATACCCCGTCATGCATGCATGGATGGATGGTCTAAAGTTACGTACTAAAACCATGCAATAATACACTTTTACGTACCGTCGAAGCTGTCCCAATAATTTGTGATGGATAATACTTCCTGTTTAGGTTGGGTGTAGATTAGATATATATCACACTCACCCGATCCACCGTTCCACCACAGTTGGAACAATTCTACTTTAGCATTCTTAAGCCGTAGAAAGCGACTCCTAACCTGACTAATTTCTCAAAAGGTAGAGAGCAAACACTTTGTGCAATCTTATTTTTGTTTTTGCACGAGGCAGCTTTTGTATAGATTTGTTTAGTCAACTTCGCATCGGTGCAGAGGGACCATTCATCCACTGAGCTATAGGTTTAGCCATATCTTCATCCCATACCGCATCCCATTGTGCGTAAAAGACATTTAGACAGCAACTGTTGCCAAACAAACACTCGAAAGGCACTTCCTAGAAAGAGTACATTCCTTTTTGTATTGTGGATTTGTCGCTGAAGAACTAACCCTCCCTTGTTTCCCGGTAAGATGATAACTAGTGATGACCTCATCACATTTTAGTTGCAAGCAAAGATTTTTGTTAGCCTCCAAAGGGAGCAGTAACATTCGGTGAACCTGTGATTGTTCTCTTTAGTTGCAAGTCGAAACCAAGGTGATGTTTTATGCAGAAGGGCAAATTGCTATCTTCCCTTTAGATTTTGGTCTTAGTTTCCGAACCTGTCAACCACTATTATCATGAGATCTCGAAGCACAAATGTTTTATTCTCATTTGTCAACAGGTCAAAACATGTCCCTACAATGAATGAATATTTGACAAACAAATGGGGACATCAGAGGGCATTAGTACAAAATCTAACGCCATTCACACTCGTCAACTCCGCGCAAGGCGATGGCTGCACCTCGAGAGCGCCACCGCTCACATCGGCACATGTCCATGGCACTTCTCGGGACGAATTGACTTTGAGAGTCACATTGGAGAGGCAAATATGAGTGAAGGGAGAGTCCTTGATACCCTGTATCGAACCAGGTTGCCGGACACCGACACCCCACACATTCTTGATCGTCAACCCATCAACAACCGGAAGAGCATTCGGATCGTATCCATCGTCCGGGTGGTCTCCTGCCTTTCCTGAGATCTTTAATGCCTTGCGAACATTGTTCAGATTCACATCTGAAATGGTTATGTTTCTGATGAACCCTCCCCGGCCGGAATTGGTCTTTATATGGATCCCAATGCCGGAGTCGAATATATCCAAGTTCTCCGCAAACACATTCTCTATTCCACCAGAAGTTTCACTCCCTATAGCGATTCCAGCAAATTGGTTAGAGCCTGTTACTCGCCGAACAGTTATTCCAGAGCTAGGACGAGCATAAGCAATGCCGTACTCATCCCAACCACTCTTCACAGCCACCAAGTCATCCCCTGTTGAAATGTAGCAATCCTCGATACAGACATTCATGCTCGAATCTGCAAGATACAATAAACTTAACAATCAAAATGGCTCAAGGATCAGAAAAGCCAATTAGCCCGAAAGAATTTCTACGATGCTTATGAGCTCATAGACCTCGATGACGGATACGAAAATAGAGTCATGAATGGTATCTTAATTATATAACAGCACTTTTCACGAATGAAGGACGAGGCAAGATAACATACCTGGATCAACTCCATCGGTGTTAGGAGAATCATACGGAGCCAAGATGGTCACGTTTTTCACCACCACATTGCTGCAATGATAAGAGGACATGATGTCGTGGAGATAGATCCAACCTTTGTTTCAGATTTTAAATAACAATCACAAAACATCATAGCTCTGTGGCAGTCAATATTTTCATAATCGTCACCATTCAAGATTGTAATCTGAATTATAATATCGACATATCTGCTACCTTGCAAGTCAGTGGGCCTCAGAATTACATCCTCCCATTCCAACAATTTCATCGTAACTATACTACGAGGTAGCTTTGAAATTTCATGCTATACAAAATTTTCACGAAAATTGATCCAAATCTCCAATGGTGTCATGAACCTTACCCGGTGACAGAATGTTCCTAGCATTTAACTAAATCTGACCACTTAGAAAGTTCACCCAAATTGGGTTTTTCATGAGGTTGCGTATCACGACAAAAGTAATATATCTAAAGTCACAGCACCTTTTAACGAGGAGGAGGCTAATCAAAGTGACCAAACATATCAAGTCATGATTGGAGGCTGTGACATGCATCCAAAAGTGTCTTGCCTGGACCCCATCTCCTATCACCCACAGCACAGGATGTGACATGAAGTAGTCTCAAAGACACCTACGTGCCATCGATAGAACTAGAACAATACACCTTTAAAGAAAGAAAGAAAAAATAAGGTTTCTTTTTTCACCTGCAATAGACAGGGTGAATGTTCCAGAAAGGGGAGTCTTGGAAAACCACATTAGATATGATGACATCTGTAGAATGCATAAGCTCCAGGAGATTTGGTCTCGTAAAGCGCAGAGTTTTCTGTCTCCACATATTCCACCACATATCACCTTGCCCATCGATTGTTCCGTTCTCACCTACAGAATTAATAGAATGCTTAAAAGAATTGTTGTTTTATATAAATTTATGGTAAATCCACTGAGCAAGTGCATTTTGAGACAAAACATATTGAAGCAGATAGGAGGGAGGCAGGATTTCACTAAAATAATGTTGCACGTACTAAAGTACTCGAGATATTCAGTCTTGATAATGTAGAAAACCATGAACTCTGAGAAAAAAACTACACAAGAGCTAAACGGGGAAAAAAAGGAAAAGAAACTATTGGTTCGCATCAGTTCCCAAATTTAGAAATCTTTAGCATCATATGATCTACAAACTCTCTTTTTCTGACATCAATCAAGCAAACTGGCAAGATGGTTTTCCTTCCTTCGTTTATCATATATGAAAGCTATTTCAGCTTTATGGTGTCTAAGAAAACTGACTATAGAAAAATTATTATTACTTTGGTAAGTCATTTTGAAAACCAAAACACACAAGGCATTTAGAGATTTGGAAAACATATCTAGTCATTTTTGTTTTGAAAAGATATAGAATAGTCAATATTTAAATATTTTGCAAGCAGCCGACTTGAAGTTCTTTGATGCAAAATATATCGACTCATATTTTGGGTACAGCAGTTTCTTAGATCTTCTGCCGCTGCCTTTGGAAAAAGTTAAAGACTATTTTAATTCTATGGAAGCGCAACTATGGATTTTGATCACAATGAAAAGATGTGTCTTCTTCCAAGCTAGCCTCAACCCAAACAAGAACATATTAACATTAGCAATATACATAAAAACTTTGAATCCACGAGCGTACCTGTGATTATCACGTCCCGAAGCCCATTGCCATGGATCAAACTCATATATCTCCCACCTGGTAGCTCTCGTCCTCTTCCATATGATGGTAAAGGATCAATCAGTGGCCAATTCGAAGTATCCTTCGACAACCAATAACAAATATGAGAAAAGAGAAAACATCAGCATCCAAGCATCGATGCAAATATATCCAGTAAACGAAGTTAAACATATATCAAGTTGAGATGAATGAAATAAATGAACGATTACACGTATTCATGCAGCAAAATTCACAAATCGCATGTCCCTTATCCTGATATTTGCGCCGATGACCGATTCTGTACTTTGTCTTTTACGTATATAAAACAGACATCACGACAAGGAGTAGGTAAAAAGAGGTTTTTTTAATTCTTTTCCTCGGAGAAAAGACCTCAGAGAGGAGATATGATTACAACCTGGGTGGCCTTGATGACGGCATCCTTGGCGAGGAAGAGCGTCATGTGGCTGGTGAGGTTGAAGGCTCCGGTGAGCCATACCCCAGCAGGGATATGGAGATGGGTTCCACCGGGCGCATTCTGCTGCACAATATGGGAGATGGCGCTCTCGAAGGCCGCCGTGTTGAGCGTTTTCCCATCCCCAACCCCTCCGAAGTCAGCGATCGACACCATCTTCTCCCGGCTCTTCATCGGCACTATCCCAGAGCACGTCGCCTCCCCTTCCGCCACCACAAAGGCGCCGCCTTTAAGCACCGCGAGGAGGACAGCTACCAGAGCCGGCACCACCAGCAGCCAGCGCACCATTTTCTATCAGCGAAACGAGAAAAGAGGCAGCGTTAGCGACTCGTGCGATAACATGGAAGGCTCCGAGGCGAGATTATTTAGGGAAATGTTCTAAATCTCAAAGGAAGTAAAAGATAGGGTTCTTATCCCTTTCTTTGTGTGTCATCTCATTTGCACTGCATATTTGAAGCCAAGAGAAAGGTCCCAAGAAAGGTTTCTTTAGAAATTATACGCGAAAAGATGGTGTTCTTGAAGAAGAAGCGACCTCCCAAAATTCAAGATTGAACGGTGTACAGACAGTTGCAACATGCTGCTATCATATATATATATATATATATATATATTAAAGGATTATAACATCTCTCTACGAGTCACTTCAACAACACTTAACAGCATAAATCGTAAATATTCATTATACTGCAATTAAACTGACATTTAATCCTCACTTAATCGATTTGAGACCATTATATACTAATATAATTTGAATATGAATGAATTCAATTTAGATCAAATAAATTTGAACTAGTCAAATCGATTCAAAAACATTTTGAATCGATCTGAACCTGTCAATATTTAGACTCAAATCAAGTATAAAAAATAAAAAATTAGACCAAGCTTGGCCAACCTACATGACTATGGATCTCGATCATGTAAGCTACGTGTGTTTATCCAAGCAGAGGGCAATGAGTTAGACTGAAATAAGCCGCATGAGCTCAGCCATGGTGTTTGGCCTGTAGGTTGGATCTCAGTTAAATTGAGTACAGACCCAATCAACCTTTGTCAATTTAATTTTAAATATTTATTTAGAATTATTAAATCATCGCAACATAACTAATAAATAGCATCAAGATTAAATTATATTTAAAAAGAAGAGAAAAAAATAATATTTTTAATTAATCATCTTTATTTAAAACCTAAGTGTAAAATTAAGTAATACTTCGACAACTAACATAATGCAGGATATATAATTTTTTTAGGAAGCATCAATGATACGAAATAACTACCATGTGATTTAGATCTAAATTTTAATATAAAATTTTCAAACAATTAAAAGAATAAAAACAATTTTACTTTTAAAAAAATATAGAAAAAATTACCTTTCTTTCGCTATTAGGGTTGGTGACAAAATGAATTGAAAGAAATTGTCTACCCTTTAATTTAAATAGCAGAACTTGAGCATTCTTTAAAAGATAATATTTATTTGTATTTATTTTATTTACTAATAAAATTACATCAATAAATTTGGAATATCGAATATTAGTTTCCTAAAATTTATTGGAAAAAATAGAATTAGAAAATCTGCGAATAATTAAGGGTATTAATTACAAAAGATATACCGAAATGGTTCATGGAAGGTGTAGAGAAGATCTTTCCCACTCTGGGATCCTTTTAAAAGGTAGACGCGTCTTGGAACCGAGAAGGCTCCAAAAGCAGCAGTCCATAAACAAAAGGAACGTAGATAGGCTCGAAGAAGAAGATCACAGAAAGGGGAAAGATGCCAACGCAATAGAAGAAGAAGAAGAAGAAGAAGAAGAAGAAGAAGAAGAAGAAGAAGAAGAAGAAGAAGAAGAAGAAGAAGAAGAAGAAGCATACCGGCGATAGAAAGAAGAGGTTCGTCGGAGGCTCGCAGCGTTCTCCCCACCCCGCCTCAGCCTCGCGATGGAGCAATCGGGTCGCGGTCTCACTCCGGCAGGGGTATGCTTATTTCTTGCGATGCGTATTAAGATACCTGATGGCTGTTTTCATCGGAAACACGCCGGTGCAGAGCAATGACCCTTGTCTGAAGCACTCACGCAATCGCAGGATAACATCTGGATCCAAAGACTGCAGTATAGACCATCTTACGGTATCTTATTCGGATTGTTCCAATCTACCTAACAGGAATATTGAAGAATAGTCAACGTGAAAATTGACCGACCGACCACTGACCACTGCACCGGGCACTGTTCCTTCCACTAAATACGAACGGGAACTGCGAGCTGTGGGACTGACACCTCGTATCATAGGCAGCAGTAATCATAAGATTCGGGGATGATAGAAAAGATGGATGAAATCATAAAATTACTCCTTGGTTTATACGGGAAGCACTTGTGTTCTTCCCTGCTCCCAGAAGCATTTTGGATGATATAGTATACATGGATAAAATGCACACAAGACTGTATATCCAATCTCCAGAATAAGAATGTCGAAGCATGATGGAGTCGATGGGAGGCAGAAACAACAGTGCTTATTATTGAACGTGACCAACCACTGACCATCTTAACGCCTCACAAGTAACAATCACGGTCCTCTTCACACCCATGGAAAATGGTAAGACTAAGAACAGGAAATGGGGACGGGCTCGTGGGTCGGACCGATCTGTCACATCCATGCAAACCCAATTGGATGGAATGATATGAGGTTCTTATCGTGACACAGTGTTCTCTGTCTTCACCATCGTATGGACCGGAGAATTGAGGTGGAAAGGAAGATGGGGAGCATTACGGAAATCACGTCAAATGTTTTCTCGATGATAAATGTCTTCTTCTTCTTCTCTCACAGAGTTGATGCAGTCATCTAATTAGCTCATAAGGTTGTATTGTAATGGCGAAGCATGAGCGTTAAGCAACATGAGAACCACATATATAGGGCAACATCCTTTGGGAACGGTTCCCACACGAATCATTAGGTGATGGATTCACTTCTGATCGATCTGTGGTTTGTGGAAGTACTCGTTAGCAGCCACCGACAGTTCAGGGAATGTACTTTGACCGTTTCAGAAGCCTGCTTGTACCAGTAAAAGGAGATGACATGAAGGTCAAACATGTATGTTTCTCTACCGTTCTGTACTACATTGGTCAAACATGTTGTGACAATTGTTCCGGATAGACAGCACTCTCTCTCTCTCTCTCTCTCTCTTCGTTGGAGGAATTGCTCCTTTCGACATCATCACGTCCGGCGGTAATAAGCTGTTGACTGTGAGCAGATCGGGGAAAGCAGTAAATGTAACTCGGAGTCATCTTCCTCGTCTTACGCTTCTTTCGGTTTAAATGGCAACTTTAGCACTCTGATCGTTTCGATGCGAGGTGGTGATCAGACATTCACATCGAACCTTGTTCTGGCGGGATGGCTGAAGTTGCGTTGTAGAGAGCCATTGCCATTGGTGACGTTGGTGTTGCTTCTAACTTGTGTCTCTGGATTCATGCAGACGTCTCTTATACAGTGATCCAAGCTTTAACCAAGCCAGTGAGTGGATTGTGTTTGTGATTCCGGCATACATGCAGTTCTTGCTGGGTGATTACATTTCTAGGAAGAAAACATACCTCGTAAAACTTGCCAGTAAATCCTATTCGACTAAGTTGGTTGGCTTCATGTTTAGATACTTTGGAGATCACAATGGATCTATTGTAAGAAGTAATTTCAAGTTTGTTCTTTGCATGTTTGGTTCAAAATTATAATCCATAAGTTGTGTGTTTATGTTAAAATTCTTATATTAGTTTATTTTTCTTGGGTAATTTACCAAATAAAATATTTACAGTCGATTTTTTTAATCAGATGATGCACATCGTAGTCGTTTTTCACTTTGTGACATTTATTTTTCATAAAAAATTAATTTTATCCTCATAAAAGTTTTGAATCGATGTAACTCAAATCTCTAAACCCCCCTCCCTCCTCCTCTTTCCTTTTTCTCATCCGCCTCTCTCGCTTTTATCTTCACCTCCATCTCCTCCTGCTACGCCACCTTCTCCTCTTTCTTAGTCTTCCATCCGCCTCCTCCCACCCATTTTAGTAAAATTTATTAAAATATTTTAAACTTATATATTTACATATTATGACACTCATATATATATATATAATTTTAAATAATTATAATTTAATTTTTAGAATATTTTTTGAAAGTTAAGAAATAAAAGAGGAAGGAGGAGGAGAACGAGTGAGGGATGGGTTGGATGGGGGAAGGAGGGAGATGAGATGGAGGAGGATGAAGCAGCGGAGAAAGAAGGGAGAGATGGAAAGGGTGGGGGAGGAGGAAGGAGATGAGAAGGTGAGAAGACGGAGATGGAGGAGGAGAAAAAAACTAATTCATGCACTTGGATCGAGTCTCGTTGTCATTCAAGCTAAATATTGACATCATTTTAGTCAAAATTGAAAAACGAATAGAAGCATCATCCGGCAAAAAACAAGTTAAAAATCAATAGTTAGATCTCTTTTCTGTAAATTATCCTATTGATCTATATTTTGATATAGCAAAGGTGTCAACTAATTGAATCACTTAAACGACATTAAAGGTAAAGACGATGTGAGGAGGGATGCGTCGCCAACAGAATAAAGTATCTATTCCCTGCTTTGCGTGCACTACTATTCGCTCCTTAACCGCCTCTTCGCCTCTCTCTCTCTCTCTCTCTCTCCTTCTCCTTCCCCTCTTCAACTCCGACTCCCGTGGCTTTCGATCGTCATAAAACTCTAACACCAAACTCCCTCAACTCAGGCTGAGGGAGCGGGAGCGAGAGAGAGAGAGAGAGAGAGAGAGAGAGTGCGGCGTCGCCATTTATGATGACCGCCGTCCAGGCCTCCCTCTTCTTCCGGCCCCTGTCTTCGCCCTCCCTCTCCCGTCCCCCCAAGCGCCTCTCCCCAGCCTTCTTGATCCCCTCTCACCTCCATACGTCCCGCTTCCACTGCCGCCTCGCCCTCGGCTCTGTCCCCCGCGCATTGCCTCCCGAGAACTCGGACCCGGCCCTGGAACCCTCCTCCCCTGATAAAGATTCCTCCTTGGATGCCCAACCCTCCCGGGGCTCCCAGCTTTCGCAGGAAACCGGTGGAGAGAGCTCGAGAGGGGAGCCCGATGCGGCCGCCGTGGTTGGCGCGGTCGGAAATGGTGCTTCTTTTGTGGATAAGTCATCGGTGGAGAAGACAAGGACGGAGGGCAGGTTCCGCCTCATGGCGTTCTTGATGGGAGCCCTCGCTTCGGCCAGGAAGGGTTTGGATGCGGTTTTGATGTCGGAATGGCTCAGCTGGTGGCCCTTCTGGAGAAAGGAGCAGAGGCTGGAGTGGCTGATCGCGGATGCCGATGCAAACCCCAGGGATGCTGCCAAGCAAAGCGCTCTCCTTGCGGAGCTCAATAAACACAGGTCCAGCTGCGGCAATCATCATCTCTCCTTTCATCTATTTTGCTATCTTAATTGCTTTTCTTTTTGATTGGCAGTCCTGAAGCAACAATCAGACGCTTTGAACAAAGAAATCATGTAGTTGATAGCAGAGGAGTTGCAGAATATATTCGAGCTCTTGTTTTAACTAATACCCTCGCAGAGTATCTTCCAGATGAGAGTTCAGGAAGACCTTCCAATCTTCCAACACTGGTATTTGTTTGCCTCATTTCATCTTTATATTTCTGCATCCTGTGTATGGATGGTCAACAAGTTGGGCTTACATCATGCCATAATTAATAACCCTCTTTTTTATTCCATTTGTAGAACTTAAACTTTAAGATTCAAATGAATTAAGTAATCACATGTGTAGATATACCTGATTCTACCACCAAAACGAATGACGGGACTCCACGGGTGGTGGATCGGGGTCCTTAATCCTATGTATCTGTATATTAAATATGTTTGTCAGACCTAATCCTGAAATTGATCCCACGACATAGTGTATTGATACACCATATGCCATTGTGTATCAATGTAGTGATGGTCATAGGTTGTTGGTCGTGAATCACATGTATCCGAGGCGGCTCCTAAGGTATGTATTGGTGAATGTTAGAATTTCTACTTTCGCTACTGATCTACTACTCCGTATCATGCTGTTACTCGGAGAAGTATGACCAACTATTACCGTACTACTGTTGGCTATATGGTTCTCCATAATACGATGACCGTGAATACGAAGAGTTTCATTCTGTATCTACATCGTGTAGGCTCTATCACATCTACTCAAAATCATTCACTGGCTTCTCCTTTTTCTTTCGTGCATAAACTTGACCAGTATCTCGTCGAGTTCCATGATCTGAATCTTGGGTGGCATGTGTAAAAGATTGCTCCTCGGTCCATGCACCACCCTTAAATTGTGTAGACGAGACCGACGACTCCTCGGCGTCACTGCCATCATCGGTCGAGGGATTGTTGTCTATGTCGCTAAACCATCCGAGCGAGTTGCTGAATGCAATTGTGTAGGTGTCTCGTTACCCGACGCAATTCTTTCCAACAGTGCAGCTGATGCTATTATTTTTCCCTTTGCCTTTGCCTTTGTACGTTGGGTGGACGATTGTGACGGTTAGGTGTCTCTAGTTCCTAGAGTAGTTTGACTTGATCTTGTTTGGCTCCTTCCACCACGTTCTGATCAAGGGGGATTTTCCTTTTGCTGGGAATGTGCTACCTCTTCTTCTATTTCCTCGGTGATAAAACATGAAGGACGTTGAGGATCTCCTACCTCATTAAGTAGAGGATCCTTTTGGTTCTCCGTCGCTTCGACTCACTCTAATATCGACTCTGAATCTTCGTTGTAGAATTGGAGGTCGATGGGATCAATCTCTAGTTCCTCTAGCTCCTTGTCCAGCTCGAGCCACTGCAACCTTAGCTGCATGTTATAATAGTGGACATTTACTAGTTTGTCCAATTGTCTATACGATAGTTTGTTGCAGACCTTTGTGTGAATCAATATGAAGGGTGACCAATTACGTTCGCAACCATTAGATGTCGCCGTTTGTGACAGTACACGAATGACAACCTTCCATAAATTTGGTGTGTCCCTTCAAAATGTAGCTACCACTCGACTACAAAAAGATATAAATAAGACTTTATTAGCATAATAAATAATTAATATCAAATATAATTAGTAATTAATATGTGTAATTTTTTCTCACCAGGATCCATAGTGTAACTACACGATACAACTACAACATCGGAGAATGAACCAATTGTATTTCGGAATAATCGGCCCTCTATAATAGCATTGGTTGCACCAGCAGTGTTTGACAAGAGTCGATTTATAATATTTCTTAATGCCGTTAGTAAATTATTTTGCATTCCAAGACTATACTGATATTGAATTGTCAGGTTTAGATAATGCATTGCAAGACATAATTTTATTAGTAAAAATTTTTTATGTAATAAAAATTATGAATCAAATTACACTGAATATGAATTTACCTGTATTATGGATATCTTGATCCATATAAACTTCAGTTCTACGATCAATGATCTGTAAGTATTGGTCGGCCTTAAAATCATTTTTGAATGTTTTCCTAACCTCCTTTCTTGCTATAATTATCATATGTTTAAGATAAGACATCTATAGATGCTTGTCCATATCGACCTTTTATAAATTCAATCACAGTCTCCCAAAATCTAAAAGAAAGAATGATCTTTTCCATCTTCTTTCTAGTGCTTAATCTCGAATGCTTGGAATCGGGTCATTCCTGTAAGGTGGTCATTGCCTTGAGACCCTATCTCTTTTGCTGTAATGACTTTAATGCAATGAAATTGGTAGCAAACCGAGTGACACCAGGTCGGAGTATCTTACAATGTATATACTTTTCCATTAAAGAGTGGATTCAATAATGATTATATATAAATTTTGTAATTGATTGTGCTCGAGCTACACACTTACTGACTGCGTCTATCTCGCTAATATCCTTTAGCATTAGATCCATGCAATGAGCTACATATGGAATCCAAAATAATTTTTATTCTTTTTTCCATCAATTTTAAATCAACCTTCTTGAAATTCGATCCATTGTCGGTGACTCTTTGAACAATGTACCGTGGTCCGATCTTCTCCACTACGGTGTCTATCGAGCTCTTAATATAATTTGCATCTTTGATCTTGTCAGAAGCATTAACTGACTTATGAAATATCACCCGTCTGTTGCAATAAATAAGAAAGTTGATACTCATTCTTGTTGGCCCTGTCCAACTATCACACATCAGTGTCACCCCATATTCGTCCTATTGTCTCTTGAAAGATTTAATCTAATCCTTCGGTTCTGCCACCTCATTTAAATGTACGCTGTGAATCTCCCTCAGTGTTGGAGATTCGATCCCTGTGCCAGACTTTTGAATAGAGATCATTCTCTGGTAATATGTACCTTGGGCTGCGTTTGCTGGAACCTTATGGGAGTTGAATCATTTTGAAATTGTCTTTCCAATATCTCGCTTATTTTCTTTTGTATATGCATTGTCAATCTGTGTCTGCCAATGATTTAAAAGGCGCTCGGCCATCTAGTGCTTGAGCTGTGTCGCTCTGCTAGGCCAGTCTTAGTGCCCGAGTAGTGTTGCTCGGCCAGTCATATATAGTCAATTACCGTTGCTCGGCCAAACATGGGCCTGAATAGTGTTGCTCGGCCAAGCCAGTACCCGAGCTACGTTGCTCGACTAAGCCAATCCCCAGTGCCCGAGTAGTGTTGCTCGATCAAGCCAATGCTCGAGTAGTGTTGCTCGGCCAGTCATATACAGTCTGTCGTTGCTTGGCTCAAACATTATTCGAGCAGCTGCTTGGCCAAACATGGGCCCGAGTAGTGTTGCTCGACTAAGCCAGTGTCCGAGCCATGTTGCTCGGCTAGGCTAGTCCCCAGTGCCCGAGTAGTGTTGCTTGGCCAAGACAGTGCCCGAATAGTGTTACTCGACCAGCCATATGCAGTCCATCGTTGCTTGTCTCAATCATTACCCTAGCAGCTGCTCGGCTAAACGTAGGCTCGAGTAGTGCTGCTCGGCCAAGCTAGTGCCCGAGCTACCTTGCTCGGCCAGGCCAGTCCCCAATGCCCGAATAGTGTTGCTTGGCCAATCATATGTAGTCAATTGTCGCTGCTCGGCCAAACATGGGCCCGAATAGTGTTGCTCGGTCGGACCAGTCCTTAGTGACCGAGTAGTGTTGCTCGGCCAGTCATATGCAGTCAATCGTTCCTTGGTTCCATCAACTACCAAGCAATCGCTCGACCAAATGCGGGTCCAAGCGGTGCCGCTCGGACAAGTCCACACCCGAGCAGCGTCCTTCAGCCACCTGGGTGTTCAGATAGAATCATTCAGCCAACCCTATATCCAAGATATGCAGATCGATTGGCCTCGCCCCCGGGTGATGTTCCTCAACCTGTTTGACACCAAGTAGGAAGTCCCCGACCGACCAACGATTGAACCACTAATCCCAGCACAACGGTCGACCCGACCAACTAGAGGCACTGTGCCATGCACCGAGCCCCTCTTAGAGGAACTCGATACATGGCTCTTTGAGGGGGGGAAGAATGATATGGCATGTTTCAGCACCATCCACATGGCAACAGGCGGCGACCACGATAGGGCCAACAAAGGACCTCCTGGCTGATACGATGCAACACCTCTGACCCAAACGAGGCGACTACACGCCCTTGCGTTGTTCGACGCCGTACAAGTCAGTGCCAAACACCATGAAGGCATCCTAGAAAGCTCGGAACGACGTCGCACGACGCTGGTCCGTACAGGTTGGTCGACGCTCGTCTACAGGGTACAAGTCATTTTCCCGAGGAGTTGACAGCCATTAAAGGACCATGTACGACCAACCCTCCTTCGTAGGTATAAAACCCAACCCCCTGACCAATGCCGGGGGGACTTCGAGCATTTAACTCACCCTTACTCCACTCAACACTAACTTAAACTTCGGAGGGGTTGAGTCGGGAAATCCCCCTCCCGACCTCGACTTTTGTGCAGGAGCTAGTGACGGAGAAGCAGGCGACGAGGCCCGAACTCAACTCGACCCAATGCCCATTTCCACCACCCTAATCTCCACATTGTCACACACTTAGCTGGTTTTGCCTAAGTCGTGCGGCTCACCCTTGCGTGTTCGTTCGCAAAGGTTAGCCTCCCCGAAACCTCTTATGGTCCCTTAGGACCTACAAAAAAGAAAACTGGTTAGAGAAAACATTTCACTCGGGATCTACAAGCAATCATTTCAGTGAACACTTCATAGCTAATGCAAATTATAAACAGACTTCACAAGCTCTGAACGGTTGCACAATAAAGGGTCCAAAATGATCCACTACAGATCGAAATCTCCACAAGTGCCCACATGACACAATCTTTGTTTGCAAGCCTAGGATGGTCACCAAAACCAAAGAAAATAGGGCTTCTAAGGCTATACTATCAGCCCTTTACATGCTGTGCAAAGTATGAATAAAACCGAAAGACACGGACATACATGAGCATTACATCAAACATCTTGTTTACAGTTTTGTCTGTGACATTCTCCCCCACTTATTTCTTCGACGTCCTTGTTGAAGCCTTTGTAGATGCTGCATCTCCTCGCCTTTGTTGAGTCTTCAATCTTCTGCTCCAGTTGCAATGCGCCTCTTGGCTCGCAGCTGCACTCCATCGTTATTGTTGAATAGTCGAACTTTGATTCGCTATGCTACTTCAACTCGCCAATGACTCTTGACTCTAGGGTGGGGTCAGTTGAGTTGTGTTGATCCCTATTAATTTCTATAGATCTCTCAGATGAAGGAAAAGACCATCTTTAGTATGTGCTAGTCTCTCAAATGCCTCATGTTGCTTGAACTAGGTGGATGCTTGTTGGAGCTTTAACGAGTATCGCCTCGCAAACTTTAAAGTTTCTGGGTCTTAACTCGGTAAAATTTGCCCATCGATTCTTCTTCCACTTAGTCGTCACTTCCAAGTAGGTTCGCATCACTTTCGCTTTCGATTGACATTCTATTGGGAAATGATGCAGATCATCTACTCTTAGTAGCACTAATCACCATTGGTGAGAATTCGACAACTATTGTCTTCAACTAGGTTTCTTCAAAGGGTCTTTGAACCTATGCAGAGCTCCTCTACTGAATAGATAAGAGAATTAAGATACTCGGTTTCGCCTATTCTCTTAAGAGTTGAGAAGGCAAAGGATACTTTGATTTCGCTCGCCTCCTCGAGGGTTGAACTCTATAATACATCGAGCTACTTACTAGCCTTCACTTGCTCTTTGCTCACACTTTTGAAGGACTCGAAGTGTTTGCACTCCTTGCGTTAAGTTATCTACTATGATTCACCTTCTCAATATCATCGAACTTCTGGAATGCAAGAAGTTTTCACCTTAACTTTGAGCAAGTTTAGTAGTTTTGGTTGCCTTTGGGATTGTACCGTCTTCTCCATCATCTTTGCTGCCTACTCCTCTGAGTTGCTAAGGTGCAACACCACGTATCATCTACTTCGTTTCTTGGTTAAGCACTCTTGCATCGACCCGAAGTCCTTCACTTTCGGCTATCTTGAAGAGAATTCGTTGACACCGGTCTTACGAAGTTCTCTGGCCTCTGCCCTTCAGCTTTGTCTTGGTACGTGGAGTTTGCCTCTGCATTCTCCACCTCCTTGATCGTTTTCACGACCAAACGCTCTCCCTCTATGAGAACAAGGGATTGATGACTTCACGGAAGTCCTACCTCTACGGTACCTTGGCGTTGCCCTGCCAATGGCCCTACTATCCATCGCCTTGCATCTGCGCCCCTTTCTTCGTGATCGGTAGATCTGCCTCTGTGGTATTGTGGCACTCCTTCGAGTCCACCTTTATTCTAAGTGATGCTTGGTTTTGGGTAGCTAAGTCCCTCTGGACTCGTCGTCGCTTCCTCGCCTCTTTCAACCCCTTGCTTCAACACCTTTGTGTTCTCCGAGCAGTTCCCCTTGGTCGATAGAAAGACAGACTGCAACTCCCATGCTTGGCCTCCGCCATCATGTTGCAGGGTTTGCACTGATTCTGTTCTCCTTAGTTTCCTTGATAGCAACGTTCGTTTACTCGACCTTGTCCTCTGACTTGCCAGACTCTCTTAAGCGAATATGAGCTCTGGAGTAGTCCAACTCTCAAACCGCTTCGATCATACCACTGCATGATTAATTCCCCCCTCCCCCCCGCCCCGCCCCCATGGGACTCACTGGTACTTGCATTCGAAATTCTCCCTCGGTGGTACACAACCCCCATATGCTGATGACCAAGGCTTTTATTCGATGCAAAATTCGATGCATGCACGCAAGACCCATCTCTGCGATATCATGACTTTATTAAATCATCATTAAAACCACTAATCGCAGCATTAAATAACTTTATTAAAACCTAATTAAATCTATTTTACTACTATAAACATGTTAAACATATAAAAGATGCATTAAATACGAGGTTAATTATGATGAAATCATCATTAGATATACTAATTGCTATTAACATAGTTAATTATCCACTAATTACTTTTTTTTCAATACTATAAACATGTCAAACATCCTAATATGTATTAAAGACATTGAATTGACCCAATATCGATAAAATTTCGATTAAATCATCATTAAAACCACTAATCACAGCATTTAATAACTTTATTAAAACCTAATTAAACTTATTTTACCATCATAAACATGTTAAACACATAAAAGATACATTGAATACGTAATTTTGATATAATATATGTTAAATTATGATGAAATCATCATTAGATACATTAATCACACTATTAACATAGTTAATTACTTCGCTTTCAATACTATAAATATGTCAAACACCCTAATAGGTATTAAAGGTATTGAATTGATCTAATATCGATCAAATTTTGATTAAATCATCATTAAAACTATTAATCGTAGTATTAAATAACTTTATTAAAATCATTAATCACAGCATTAAGTCATACATCACATAGAATAGGCTTAATCATCTTATCAATCAATAAAAATCTAGAGAGAGAATACATACCTCTCGATTAAAAAATTCTTCCTCGTAATCCTCCTAAATTTGATTCAATCTACAAATCGTTGCTTTGTTAAGTTTAGGAGAGTGAAAATATAAGAATAAGAGAGAAAATATGAGAATAAATGAGTTTTAAAGAGCTTAAGAGAGTGTGAGAGTGAAATGGATTGAAATAGTGGGGAGGAAAGGGTTTAAAAACCCTTGAGGAGTGCTCCAACGGTCAAATTGATCGTTGGAGCACTGTTACCATTCGGAAATGGTCGGTTTCGAATGGTAACGATTGAAATTGACCGGTATCAGTCGGTACAGGTCGGTAACAGTTGAAATTTCGACCGTTACCACCCTGCACAGCCCGTATTGCCCGATACGGGGCCTAAAGCCTGATACCACCCAGTAGCTGGCGGTTCGTGTACCAGGCGGTACGATACGATTTTGCAATCCTTGGTTGACTGATATTATAGTACAGTCATGTCTTTTTGGAATCATAACCTGGTAACACAGCACATTGACTCATTTTCAGATCACATTTTTTCTACTTATTACATGGATTGCATGATTAAGGTGCTAACATCAGTCTTTCCATTTCTTGGTGTCAAATGTCATGTTGTGGTGATTGCTTAGCTTATATGAAATTTGGAGAATTTGTAAACTTAGGCAATATTGAAAGGAAGGCAGAAAAGAGTTTCCCTTGATGGCATGCTACCTAGAGTTTCCCATTGAACTGTTATTGTTGTGGCATGCTACATCTTTGATCTCTTTGAACTTAAAATAGTTTTATGTCAGTAGTTGCAAGAGTTGAAGCAACGTGCATCTGGAAGCGAGGACAAGTTGCTCTTGAATCCTGGAATATCAGAGAAGCGGCCACTTCATGTTGTTATGGTAAGTGTGTTGCCTTCCGGCTTATTTATTTTTCCTGGACAGTAATACTATAAGAGACACTGTTTCTATATCATGAGACAACATCTGCTCTGATGTAGACTAAATGTTCTAGATTTTGCTTCACAGGTTGATCCTAAAGCATCAAACAAGTCACCACAATTTGCTCAAGAACTCCTTTCAACCATCTTGTTCATCGTTGCTGTCGGCTTGATGTGGTGTGTATTTTGATCTTCCCCAGCTTTATTTCTTCTTGATGTAAAACATGCTCAGATTCCCTGCAGTACGTTATCTGTTTTATCCAAATGATAACCTTAGCAATCCGACTTGTACAAGTTGCATTGAGATCTATTAAAATGTTCCTTTACTGCAAAATGATGACTATAAATTGAGGATTATGAATAGAGGTGGAACCAGCTGTTTATGCAAGCGGGGCTAAATAAGCATGATAGATATGGTGTTAAACTTTATATATTTTGATGAAATAGGTATTGACATTCATGAAAATTTAAATAAGTTTACATGATGATAGGACAACAACAACAATTTGGCACAATGTCCCAATTATTTAAGATATGCAATGTGAACCGCTAGTGTGCTCTAGAGGTAGAAATAGCTTGATGATAAAGCTAAGTTATGCTAGGTGTACATGGCATGGATTTTTTAGTCGTGGAACCCAATCAATAACTCTGGATACCATTGACCTATAAAGCACATAAGAAACACTTGTGGAAAACAAATCAGAGAATCAGCATGAAGCTACTAGGCCAGCTAGTTCATTATATGCCCTAAGCTTGTTTACAAGAGCAGATTTCAGATATTGGATTCTTTGTTCTGCTCTCTGTACTGTTGCCCTTTTTTTTTTTTAAGATCATGAACTTCATGGCTTTTTTTTGCTGTTGTTTCACAAACTGTGGTTACTAACTTTTGAGGCCTTACCCAAAATTTCTTGCGATAGTGTCAAGCTGTCTTTCCTATTTTTTTATTTTCTTGCAGTTGTTGATTTAATTTTCTTGTTATTTCGATTACAAGGGTATTAGGTGCAGCTGCACTGCGAAAGTATGTTGGCAGCTTAGGTGGTATTGGGACTTCTGGTGTTGGTTCGAGTGCCACATATGCACCCAGAGAGTTAAACAAAGAAATTTTACCAGAGAAGGTAGTAATGCTTGTTTCATGCTTACAATGGAGATATGATTTGTATTAATATTTTCCAAAGATCTTAAATATTTTATGTGGCATGTTGATTTTGGTCTGGTAGTTCTTTCTTATAATAAAGAATACGTAAGTTCTTGTTTTTTTTTTTCTTGTTGGATGACATTAAAAAAAGTTGATTGTGCTCAATCTGAGGCACCTGTCATTATGGATAAATGCACATTTCCCATCATATTGAAGAACTATTGAGATGTGCACATTGAATCCTGTGGCATAATTTTGATAAATTGCTTCTCGAAAATCCTCTATGCTATCTAAATTGATTATTGTTTTTGAGATCTTTTTGGTAAAAGTAACATATCTGCATGTATAACTTTGTAAAGGTATTGTGTTCTCACATATATGTTTTGGAGGGCCTTATGCTGATCCTTTAATGACAGTGTTCTGAAAATTCTTGCTTCAAGCAACATTTGACAATGATCACTGCCAAAAAATTGACTTGCTTTAATGGTTATGCAACTTTACTTTCTGAATCTCCACAACTTATATAGGGCAAATCACTTTCAAATTATTATACTTGCGCCCGAGGTTTAGACTTTAATTTCATCTTCTGGTATAAGACAAAAGCATGTATGGGCAAATAATTTTTTTTCTTGGTTTGATAGTTGCGGATTAGAAAAAAAAAATTTAGAAAATAAAAAATGATAAATATAAGAGTCACTCTGGCTCTCAAGTACCAACTCCTAGGGACAAAGACATTGTATCTTCGTACATCTTCATATGAATTGTATTTATATATATGGTTGAATGAATGAATGAATATGTGTTTTCCCACAATATATAAAAAAGAGATATATAAGCACAATTCATATACGTGAAAACACATTCATTCATTCATTCATTCAACCATATATATAAATACAATTCTATCTCTTTTTAAATAGACCTCCCAATGAAAAAAAGGCAAAATATATTTAAATAAACATATTCATTTACTGAAGGACAATCAATCATCATTATACTATTTTGATAATATTCAATTTCACTTTTGTTCTAAGCAAGGTATGCAATTTCGAATAATACCGTCTGGTACCGGCGGTACGTACCGGTCCGTCTGCTGATCGATACACGGATCGCCCATTACCAGATGGAACGAAATATATATTAATATATATATATATATTAATATATATAAATATATAAATATTTATATAAAAGGAATATTTATAAAAGGCGACATCGCCTTTTATAAAAAAAATTATATAAATATATATAAATAAATAAATAAATAAATAATATAATATTATATATATATATATATATATATATATATATATATATCGAGCGGTATACCGCTCGGTATACAATATCTTACCGTACCGAGCGAACATCGAAACTCCGGTACGGTACGATATTGTATACCTTGGTTCTAAGGATGCCTTCTTTATCAAGATATTTATTTGGTATTAGTTTCCTCTCTTGCGAAGTATCTCCGATTTGGACAATCTTGGAGTGGAATAGAATTACACAAGATGTTGTTATGTGAAAACTTATTGCATTTATGAAAACCCACCAAAATACTAAAACCGGTGTAAAGAAAAATTAACATGATAGGTCTTGGATCATCTTTTTCTACGTTTTATAGGATCTCATCTTCTTTGGGTATCTTTTATTTCACTTATAATACTAATATTTTGTTAGGTCCAAATTCTATCCATGTAGATGAAACCCAACTATTCTCAAATAATATATCTCTTTAACATTGGGCACATATGTTTTAGACTTGACATGCTTTGGGTAGCCTTGATCTTGGGAAGAGAACCGAGATGCTTGAGTGCTCTTGGGCTTAGGAGAATACCATAAAAAAGGGTGGCCCACTGCACAAAATTTGAAGTCATTATGGGATTTAGGGAGGGTCAGTATATGTGGCCTCACCCCTACAGAAAAAGTGATTGCTTTGCCGCAACGTGGGAGTATAACATTATTGACAATATTTTATAGTTTAAAATATTTCATTCAGCCAATTCTATTTATGCAGACTATGTGGTTTCAGTTCAATAAAAGTCTGTCTTCTTTTAACATCTCTTATGTTTGCTGCAGTTGTTGTATCCTCTTTACTAATTTTACTATATTCTGGACTTCGTAATTTTGAAATCAAATTGTAAATGCTAGACTCCTCTGCTTTATCTTGTAGTCAAATGTCATCAGCACTATTATGCTTGCTTGAATTTCAGTTTCAAACTTAATTGGATAAGGGATCAAAAGAATCTCATATTCTTGTTTTACGAATTCTTATGCAGAATGCTAAAACCTTTAAAGATGTTAGAGGTTGTGATGATGCAAAGCAAGAGCTTGAGGAAGTAGTTGATTATCTTAAGAACCCAGGAAAGTTCACTCGCCTTGGTGGGAAATTGCCTAAGGTTTGTGCAAAGTTTTCTTTGGCTTTGGGATTTGCATGGCTCATCTGTATGTTTCTTCTATATATTCTATAACATAATTATATGGGTAGTATATGGTCCAACCCTTTGTATAATATCACTGTGTACTGTACCCCAAAATTTAAGGATCATGTCAGGGACCTATTGTAGGTCTGTCATTCTAATATTGGTTGTAATGTTTGATGGACTTTTAATTTTTTATCCTTCACCTCTTCTGTACAACACCTACTATTTTGTAATGCTCAACTTTGGTGAAGATGCTGACCTTATTTAATTCAAATCGTAAGAATGCCATATATAGCATTGGTTTCAACTTCCAAGCACCTGTAAACAATAATTTGTATTTTTTTGATATTATGTACTTGGAACATGCTCTTTTGCAGGGAATTCTCTTGACTGGTGCTCCTGGCACTGGAAAGACTCTTCTTGCAAAGGTGAGAGTATGCCACTGTATTCAAAATAGTTTATTTGTGTCTTCATAGATAAACAGTTCTTATGTGTTTGCATATGTTTGTACATAAAAATTCATGAAATTATGATATAAAGGGACTTAGGATGGTTTCATGGACAGTTTTCTTTAGCTATATGTTGACAAAGAGGCTCAAACCCAACGTAATTTGAAATTTTACAACCAACACTAGCTGCTGTTTTTTAGTTCAATAGTTTCATATATTTACAGGTCTTTACACTGTAGATTATTTTGGTCGTCAATGCTGCAATATACTTGACCTGTATAACTTGTTTGTACTTGTGAGATGTGTATGCTGGTGATCTTCTATATTTTGGAATGTGCTTAGTCTCACAATTCCCTTTCTTCAACGTAAGAGAAAGTTTTCTTATAAAAAGCCACACAGTCAAGGTAACTAAGGTTTCATGTTTGCTCTATCCTTTCTACATATGTAGAGAAGCGATGTTGAAAATTTCTGTTATTATGTCAGGTATAGTCAAGGATCCTCTTGTCATGTCATGAGGCACATGCCGGTTTTGAGTGGGCATGCTTCAGAATAGTAGTTCTATGAGCTTTTTTGACTATGCACATGTCATACCTCTTGGTCACAAACATAACACTGCCAAGCCTAATTGCGTGTGCAGAACTGACCTGCCAACATTATCATGAGAGAGCCAACACAGCTTGATATGCATATGCGATACTCAGAAATGGCTGGCATTGTCTAAACATCTAACTGTCCCTAGTATGTACTACCTTGTCAGTCTAGATGCTGTTGGTGTGTTATGATGCTAGACTTTCTTGTGGGTGCAATTTTCCTTTATAAATCAAATTAATCTTTGGTTGGTATGTACATGTATTAAATCATTCTATCACTGTGACTAGATCTAGTTTGTGCAGGCTGTTGCTGGTGAAGCTGGTGTGCCTTTCTTCTACAAAGCAGGTTCTGAATTCGAGGAAATGTAAGAGAACTTACACAAATAAGAGATCTCGATATGTTATGATGAAATGATTTAGTTATATCATGGAACTAGACTAGAACATATTCTCAAGTGTACTATTGAAAGATCTTTTTGAGATAAACTGCCAAAGCTATAACATGGGGATCTTTCTATCACAAACTTTAGTTTATCACTCTTTTTTATTGTTGTTAAAGTTGTGCTCGGGAGGGACTAGAGGAACAAGAGAGATGATTAAGAATTAAGAGGAACAAGTTGACAAGGTGAACTAGGTGTTTGAGTTGATTTGCTTTTTAGTTGCACCATCCTATACCCAGAAATTATATTATAAAAGGCGTAACCGAGGAATTTGGCCATCAGTACATTGTGAACTACATTTTATTAGTATCAAAGATATCGTAATCCTGATTTTCTGAATTGAGTAAAGAAGGAATTTATTTTCATAATTTGCTGTCTTTGGTTTTGATTTCATTCGCAGCTGTACTCTAATTTTAATTCTTAAGATTGTTGTTATGTGTCTAGTTTAATTCCATTTTGAAGCATGTTTACTTGTTCCCGAAGCTTAATATTATTACAAAATGGTCCTCGCTTTGAGACACTCTGGCAGTCTTAACTTCATTTTGTAGGGCAAGGAAAAAGTTTTTACTAACTCTACAATTTTATATTAGTTGATATGAATTGTTGCATCTATTTACAATTTGACTATAGTTTACTGTGACCTTAACGTGGCTCCTTCTAGATGTTCATTAGTGGTGCAACATTTCCTTGCTATAGTAGCTTTCAAGTCAACTTTAACAAGCTTGTCATTTTGTTGAGAGTTTTAAAGGCATCAATGATTTTACTATTCCACTGATTACCTTTTCAGTTGGTTTACATTATAGTTTTGCTCAAGAATATCAAGTTAAAAACCCTTTTCAAAGAATCTTTTCTGACTTACCTTCCCTGCCAGGTTTGTTGGAGTTGGAGCTAGTCGTATGAGATCATTATTTCAGGCGGCTAAGAAAAAGGTGAACTTACAGATAACTTCTGTGTTTCAGTTTATTTATTTACTTATGAATTATAAGTTCACTATTTCAAACATGATAGGTAGTGTATTATTATACATCTCTGTTGTTTCATCATTGGAAAGAGATTATCATTTTCGCTAGTTAATTTTTTATTTTATATGTAAAGGAAGTCAAGATACTAGCTAACTTCTGTTTATAAAAACTTATACAGCTTGTTTATATTATTTGAGGCCATCATTTATTGATTATTAAAATACTTATTTTAAAAAGTGGTCAATGTGGCTGTTTATGTGGGCCATATGCATATGCGGTGTCATATGACCACATCATACAAGGCCTATGTAGCTTCAATGTGCAGTGCAGTTGCATATGCGGTGTTTGCAGCTGGATGTGACTGAATAGTTGGTGCATATTTGATCCGCATAAGTATGAACATGTAATCACATATTGGTTTTTATTTGGTTTGGTCGCTACTAATTCTACTGTAATGCTATACTATTATTTATAACAATATTGATGAATATAATTCGTATTACATTTTTCTTGTAGCTTAGTACTGATTTCATATTGGTACCATTCCATAGTTCATGATTTGTTTAGCATATATATATGTGTTTTATTTTATTTTTGTCTGTGTTTGTTCTTTTTCTAAATATTTTGACATGAGTAAGAACCCATATTGCCCATATCTGCTTAATGATATTTTGATCAGTTGCATAAAGTAGCAAAATTATTGTATAAGCCGTACGAGAAATGATGAGATTTGACATTCCCATATCCATCTCTGCTTGAACAAAATATGAGTGTGAAACTGAAAATATAAAAAATTATCAACTATTCACTAAAGAAATGGTAATAACCCCAAGGTTTTATCACAGAAAAAGAGGGAGAAAAGAGATGATCACTTCGAGGGGATCGGCCTCTTTGATCACTTTGAGGGGATTGGTCTCTTAGAGTTTGTCAAAAGACTAGAATAATATTTCATTGATAGATGAAAAGAAACAGATACATCCTTATTTATAGAGTTCCACCTAGAGTCCACTAGGACTTCGACTCTTAATAAATAAATAAATATCAAATAAACCTCTATTCAACTCTTACTGAACTAGACAAACTTAATAAAATATTATTCAAAGCTCATAAAATAAAGGGATCCTAACAATTCCTCCCCCTTCAAATCAGTCTTTTCCTCAAGGCTGAGCAACATCAAACTCGGTGAGCTTCTCTTTCAGTACTTCAGTCACAAGGTATCTGTGGCGCATCATAACCCGTTGATCAAGTAAGTACGGTCTCCACTTCTTGATAGTGTAAACAATAGGTCGGCCTTTGGGTTTAATAGTCATTGCAGTCTTCTGAAGAACTATTTCCATCCGATGGCTAGTGGCAGTTGTGACCTTACTTTCACGTCTTCCCTTTAGGATCACCTATTTTTCATTAATAAAAAACTTCATGATTAGTTTAGAAAAATTCAAGAAACATCACTTAGGGTTGATAGCCATTTAATTCCAAGCACCACTTCAAAGTCTTCCAAGGGTAGCAAAAAGAAGTCCACAAGCAACTCTTGGTCTTGTATAATCAATTTTATCTTCGAACATTTGCTATCACAAGTTAAAATCCGTCCATCAATGACATTTACTTCGAATTTGTCACATTCTTTAATGTGGTAGGCCAATCGGTCAACAAACTTACTGTCCGTAAAATTGTTAGTGCTACTAGTATAAATCAAAATTGTAACATGCCGATGTTCCAAAGTTCCTCCAACTTTTATAGTTTGCGGGTTAGAGTAGCCGGTTAATGCATGCACTGTATGCATGATAGGTCCAACATCTTCATCAGAATCCATACCTTCATGATCGAAGTTCACATTGTTAGCTTTCGGTTCCTCCCCAATTGGTTCAATCATCAGAAGTTGCCCTTGTTTACACTGATGCTCCGTACTCCATTTTTCATCACAATGCCAGCACAAACCCTTCGCTGATCTTTCCTTGACTTTTCTCGGGTTAGTCTTCGGGTGTTAGGGTTTTGGTTGGGAATAGATAGGGCGGGTGGCTTGCTGATCATCTGTTTGTTGTCACTTCTGTTTCGACAATTTTCTCTGCTGATTTTTTCGTCATGCAAACGTGCAAATGAGATTGCAGCTATCATAATGCGGGATTGGCAAGCTTTGACTTCACACCAGATATCTAGATTAAGTCCTTCAATAAATGTTCCCACCAGTTGTCGTTCGGATCAATCTCTGGCTTGATTTGACAATCATTTAAATCTGCTATGATATTCTAGCACTGTAGAAATCTAACGAATTTTAGCGAGCTGCCCATCAACATTCTCATATTCAAATGGTCTAAAGCGAACGAGAAGCCCTCTCTTGAATTGCTCCCACGAGGGGACCCTATGACAGGTTTCGTTCCAATCATACCATTGGATTGCATCTCCATCTAATTGGATTGAAGCTATTTCCACATTGGATTCTTCTGGAGTTCTGTGAAAACGAAAAAAAAATTGTACTCTAGAGATCCAATTGGTCGGATCTTCATCTTCCCATCTTGGGAATTCCACCTTCATGCGTAGGTAGCTTGTGTTCTATTCTTGGTTCCTTTTTTCTGTGTCTCCAGATCGGTTCAATATAAGACTTGAACCTTCATCTTGTTGAAACTTGCTAAAGCTCTCCAATAGATTCTTTTTAAAATCATTAAGGGTTTCTTATATCGTGTTCTCAATTTTGGTTTCCAAGGCTTCTAATTCGGCTTTCACTGAGTTGTCAATAGCCATTGTGTAAGACTGCAGATCTGTAATCTCCAACTCCTGTTTCTGGTGTCAGGTCAAGGGCATCAATACTGCCCTATTCGGTGCGGTTGCTGTGAAGTTTGGTCCGGGGCAGTGTTGAGGGCGTAAGGGAATGCGAAGCTGTCGAGGAAGCATACATCAAAGGTAGCGTAAAGGCTTGTTGTGGTCGCTAAGAGGACACTACTGCCGAGGCTGGGAGGCATCGTGGGATGAGACACTGGGAGCAGCGATGGCCAATGCTCTGTCGAGGCTAGTAGGTTGCCGCTACCGAGGCTGGGAGGGTTGCTGCCCTGTTTCTGTCGCTGCATGGGGTGAGAGCGCTGAGGGATCGCGAGCGGTCAGGGGCTGAGGCTACAAGGGCTAGAAGGCGACGGCGGCGGCGACGTGGGGAGCGACTGAGGGTGGCTACGCGGAGGATGGGATGAGGAACTGCAACGGAAGGTCGGATGAAGTGCGGTTGAGGGCGACTACGACGGAAGGGGTTGCATATGTCGATCACGCATGGTCGTTGTGTGCGCGGGCAATTGTGTCACCGCAAGCGGCTCAGGGCTGGAAGTTGCCCTGTTTTGGTCGTTGTGAGGAGGGAAGGTTGCTGCCCTATTTTTGTCACTGCGTGGGGTGAGAGCGCCGAGGGACCGTGAGCGACCGGGGGCTGGAAGGCGACGGCGTGGGGATCGATCGAGGGCGGTTGTGCGTGTGGTTGCGGTTGCTGCGACTCAAGGGGAGCGATTGCCGAGCGGTCGGGGTTGAGGCTGTGATCCAAGGGGAGGAAGGCGGCGGCGGCGGCGTCGGCGTGGGGAGCGACTGAGGGCAACTGCGCGTGTGGCTGTAGTTGCTATGACCCAAAGAGAGCGATCGTCAAGCAGCCGGGGTTGAGGCGATGGTGCCCTTTCTTGCTCGAGTGGGATGTGGCGTGGCTATCGGCTTCAACCCCTTTTCCTTTTTTTGTTTGAGATGATGATGGCTGATGACATCTGCGACGATGAAGTGACGTGAGAAATTACAACGGGAACGTCGAGGATCATTGCTCCGATACCAAATGATAAGACCCCTAGGGTTTTATCGTAGAAAAAGAGAGAGAAAAGAGATTATCACTTCGAGGGGATCAGCCTCCTAGGGTTTGTCAAAAAACTGGAATAATATTTCATTGATAGATGAAACAAATACATCAATATTTATAGAGTTTCATCCAGAGTCCACCAGGACTTCGACTCTTAATAAATAAACATATATCAAATAAACCCCTATCCGACTCTTACTGAACTAGACAAATTTAATAAAACATTATTTAAAGCTCAGAAAATAAATGGATTCTAACAAGAAATTGCCAATGACACATTAGTTGTTCATGTTGCTAAAATTTTTCATGAAATGCTAAGGTGCACCATGAAAAGCATGGTATCCATTTTCTGATGAAACTTATCCACTGTAGATTGGCTATTTGACAGATAAGGGGTGAACAAAGATCAAAACCCATAATTGATGTGTTTTGAAATGATTTTGAGCTTCAGTTAATATGTTCTTAAATTCAAAGCAAAACTGGTAGAACCTCCAAAGGCATGAAAACGAAAAATTCTGAAAGTTTTAAAGAATCTTGAAGTTTTTTTAAAATTGTGAACATTTCTCTCCCCAAATGCAATTTCTTTACTAATGCTTGAGCTATGGTATCTTGAGAATTTTATTTTTTTAAGAATATGGTCTCTCCATGTTTTCTTTTAATGTTCCGAGTTCTAAGAAATTTTCTTTCTTGTTAGTCATTGTTTATTATCATCTCCTAATTTTTAATTACCCATCATTAATTAAGACCTTCTTTCCTGTTCCTTGATATATCCTGATTTTGTTTTTATTCAACCGTTCTGATTTTATCATATCTTTGTTTCTTTTTGTGCACATAACCAAAACGAAAAACTTCAAAAGCTAATTCGGAACTCCAATATCAGTGAATTGTTTTAGTTTAAATTATTGACACTGAAACTGAAATTGAGACTTGAGACCGAGGTTCGCAATACCGTACCGTACCAGTATTTCGACCTGGGCTCGGTACCGGTACGGTACGGTATACCGAGTGGTACACACAGGTGTATCGAGTACTGTAGCATTACTACAGTACTACAGTAACTGCTACAGTACTCGGACCGGTAACAGTCTGTCCGCGTACCGAAAATCTATCGGACCGGTACGTACCGCCCATACCGGGCGGTACGGCTCGGTACGGCAAACCCTGCTTGAGACCATGGTCAGAACAGCTAAATGTATAGTTGCATGCATCTGAACATAAGATGGGGCAGAAATAAATAGAGGATATCTTCTCCTTTCCATTTTTTTTACTTCATCTCCATTCTTTTCACTTTGGTAACTTTCTGATTATTCAAATAGCTCACACTTGTCAACTATTATCATTCACAGGCACCTTGCATTATTTTCATTGATGAAATAGATGCTGTGGGTTCCACTAGAAAGCAGTGGGAGGGACATGCTAAGAAAACGTTGCATCAACTGCTTGTGGAAATGGACGGATTTGAGCAGAATGAGGTACATCGTAAAGAAAAACAGTATTGCTGTTTCAAGTGCCACAACTGTACTTCTCAACATCTGTTATGTTCCTTTTCAGGGGATAATATTGATGGCTGCTACGAACTTGCCAGATATACTTGATCCAGCATTGACAAGACCTGGTAGATTCGATCGGCATGTAAGTTATATCGCTCTTTCTGTATGTAGTACATTTCTTTGGTGCTTTAATATTAATTGCTTCAACAAAGAACAAAAACATATTAGTTAACAAGGTGTAGCACTGCAATGTATAGATTACTTGTTTGACTCATGACTGTACTTTTAGGTTGCCACCTTACTCTCTTATTGCCATATGCTAGTTGAGACCGAAGATTTAGGGAATATCAGATGAAAAGTTTGCTTTAGCTTTGTGAGTTGGTGGTCATGTTACAAACTGGTTCTTCTGGCTCGGCTAAGCAAGTGACGCAGCGGGCTTGTGAAAGAACAAGACGACGACGATAAAAATTGAGAGGAATGGAGATGAAATGAGGGTTAGGTTTCTATTATACAGTGGAAATCTTGTGATTATAGAAAATGTCTTAAGATACTTTGAAAATTTTAAAAAATTTCATTAGCATCCTGCAAATGCTGAAATGCTAATGCTACCATAAGGTAGGACCAGCATTTGAGCATTTGCAATACGCCATCCAGGCCAAATGCGATTTGACAAAAAAAAAGTTTACCAAATACCCATTCACATTTGAAATGTGCATTGGGCCCTTAATGCACATTTCAGATATGTTCTCAAACGACCTTGTGTATCTTATTTAAAGCCATGCCAGAAGTATAAAAAAAAATGAATCCTTGATATTGTGAGGCACAACATTTATTCTAGTCAGTAAAGCAGCATCATACTCACTTCACATTTTGTTGTTACTTTGGCGCAATGCATTTTTTAGTAATATGTGCTCATAGTCATTATAGGTGGAAAGGAACTATTCTGGACATGCACTAAACCATTTTTATTCTTGCAGACTACTATTATGATATTCTTGCTCCTGGATCCATTTCAAAAAAAATCTAATAAAGTCTACTTTCTAGATTGTTGTTCCAAGTCCCGATGTGCAGGGTCGACAGGAGATTCTGAAGCTTTACTTGCAGGACAAACCATTAGCTGATGATATAGACGTAAATGCAATTGCTCGTGGTACTCCTGGCTTCACTGGAGCAGGTTTGTTGTTTTAATTTTATCGTGTAAAGTATATTTTCTGATGCATGTAATCATAGATAAACTTGAACGGCCAGTAATCTGTTTCCATTTAGTTAAACATTGGGGTGTATTATTTTCAGTATGTATGATGAAATTGTGTCAGCGATTTGTTTCTTAGAGAATAAGTGACTCAACTAAAAATATTTCCTGAATTATTTGTTAGATCTTGCAAACTTGGTAAATATCGGTGCCATTAAGGCTGCAGTAGACGGCGTTGACAAGATAACTGCTGCGCATTTGGAATTTGCAAAGGATAGGATGATTATGGGTACAGAAAGGAAGGCCATGTTTATATCTGAAGAATCAAGGAAGGTATCCATGCCATTGTTACTCTTGTTATTTTTGAAATATTCATTTGCCATTCTGGATAAATTCTTTATGCCCATGCTTATCTTATCTTTCAGCTCACTGCTTACCATGAGAGTGGTCATGCCATTGTTGCACTCAATACTGACGGTGCTCATGCTATACACAAGGCAACCATTATCCCCCGAGGTTCTGTGCTAGGGATGGTAACTCAGCTTCCATTTCAAGATGAAACATCTATCAGCAAGAAACAGCTGTTAGCTTGTCTTGATGTCTGCATGGGGGGGAGGGTAGCTGAAGAGCTCATCTTCGGCGAAGAGAGTATTACGACTGGTGCCAGCAGTGATCTCCGGACAGCCACAGAGCTTGCTCACTACATGGTATTGTTTTTCAGTCTAAGCACAATTGTCCTAATTTTTTTATCATTATATGTTGAGTATATCTGCTGCCTGGCAGGTGTCAACCTGTGGAATGAGTGATGCGATTGGCCCAGTGTATGTTAAAGAACGACCAGGTTCTGAGCTGCAGTCACGAATAGATGCAGAAGTATGTTTCCTTTATTAAGGTTATTTGTTAGTTCTAGAGGTCGAACACTTGAATATTTCTCATGATTCCTTCCTTCAAATTTCAGGTGCTCAAGCTCTTGCGAGAAGCTTGTGATCGAGTCAGACGGTTACTGCAGAAGGTTTGTCTTGTGATTTATGATTCGCTTTTGATGTCTTGTAACATGATCCTTGTTGTCAATCTTCATGATATTACTTGCTTTCTCAGTGCATTCTGTAGAGCGCACATGATCTTCTCATCAAATTGATACTCTAATTCTATGGGGCTAACAGGCTGACCTGATGCTTAAGAAATTTATTACCTGCTTACTTCCCTTCATGTTTCTGGTTTTTTTGGGGGGAATTTTATGTATTCTCATGATGTCAATCGGCTTTTCTGTTTCTCACATGATTTTAACTATTCTTTGCAGCATGAAAATGCATTACATGCGCTAGCTAATGCGCTACTTAAATATGAAACTCTCAGTGCGGATGAGATTAAAAGAATCCTAAATCCTTACCAACAGAAAGAGGAGCTTGCTTTGACTTGAGAGAACGCCTTGACTATTTGCAAAAGTCTTTCCTCACTGTAAAGTAGTGTGTACAGTAATGCAATGTAGGTCGATTTTTTGAACAGCTTGTGATAATTCTTGGTATATATATGAAGTGTGGAAAGGAAACTAGGAGTTACTCCTCCCAAGTTCACATCAAACTTTGCTGGGGAATGCAGGAGAACGAAATCCTTTTGCTGGGATATGATTCTTTTAGCTCGGTTGATTAGAGCGGCCATATTGAGTAGAAAAAGGAAGGAAAGGGAACATAATTTTCGAGTTGGGATAAGATCTGCTGAAGATCTATTTCATTTTCACATTTGTATCTACAATGAAAGAGGTGTACAAAAACAGGGCAGGGCAACTTTCCAAGAAATTTATCCGTTCCTGAATGTTATTTGTGTCATGAATACTTATTTGTGAGGGGGTGGCGGTATTACATCAAATCGTGGTAGGAGCCTCGATATTTATATGTTGAGCATTAATTTGGTCACCGGAAATGTTTCGGCTTTTCATGGAATTCTTGTTAGTTTTTGACTCGGCAGGAAAACGTAAAACCATATGAGAAAATTGTATTTACAGATTATTATTATTTTTTTCTTTCTTTCTAACAAAGAACTTGATGTTTTTTTTTTCTTTCTGTGAATCAAATGTCTGTGCCTTTCGGAACACAATTAAAAGCTTATACACAGTCTGAACTCCAGACAGAATAATTGGAGCGACCATAGCGGCACGGCGGTGAGATAGATGTAACATCGCACCGCTTTGCTCCACCAAAGGATAACATTTGCCTCTGCGATACATCCTTGGGTGGTATTAAGATGGTTCGAGGCGAAGGAGGACCGACGAAGCGTCCTTCACCTCCACCCCCTAGCCATTCGATCCACCATGGCAGGACCTCAATAATTGGGGTGGGGTCACATGGACCCCTCTCGCTTACGACGAATCTGCACAGCTCATTGCATTCATTTGGAGGTCATACCAAAGTCAACAAACAACCATAAGGTGGGCAGCGGAGCGTGGCAGAAAACAGTATCACCCACCATCATACCACATATTTCCCGCTGCAACATCAAAATGCCCATAATAATAAATACCATGACCCTAATCCATGTCGATCGAGCCATCTGAGGGTGGTAATATTCTACATGTGAGAAAACAGACAAAATCCCTAAAACATCTCGAGATCCGTCGTCCAAGGAATGCATGTAATCTCATCGCTCCATGGGTTGCGCGTTCTGCACTGCCAATCGCTCCGACACATCAGCTAAAGATTTGAGGTTGCATTTGATCAATGCCTCCACGAAGTAGCACGTCTCATCCTTGGTGTTGCCGTCGGGCACATCGACCACAAAGGATTCGATGACCAGCGTCCCTGGCCTCCCGTCCATGACCTCAGGATGCGCGGTTATGATGGAGGAGTAGTTCTGCAACCCAAGCAAAGATTGGAGTTGGAAGCCTGTGATGGTGAGTTGAGTCCACACTGCATCCAAAGGGTGGTGTGCAAGTTACAAGTCGTCACCGCACAGGAGTTCAAATGAATCCTGGCTGGCAACTCATCGACGTGCGTGGATGGAGCGGAGTCGTCCCCAAAGCTTCGGAAGCAACAATACTAATCCAAGCCAAGCCAAGCCAAGCCAACACAAACAACTGTGGTGAAGGAAGATTACCAACCCTTAGTCTGTGATCACCGCCGACGATCTTGACGCTGAGGACGTGCTCTTGGTCGTCGAGGACTTCCAATCTCTCCGTGCTGGTTGTGGCCGGCAGCCCCGATTTGACGTTAACTTCTCGAACGCTGCCGATCGCCAGATCGCCCTGCACCACGCATCTGCTGATGAAGGGCTTGTACTTGTGTGGCTGGTCGAATCGCCTCACCAATGACCAAACTTGTCATCACAACAAGAGAGCCCGCGCTCAGAGTGCTTCCGTTTGATCCAGGTTTTCCGCTCTACAGCACCACTATCGACATGCTCCACCGACGAGCAAAAAAAGACGACAACTTGGACGCCCAGATCGAGGAGAAATGGGGGAAAGACATGTGCTTCAGAACAGAGAAGTCGATTTCTCGAAAAGAAGCTTCTTTTTCTTCCCCTGCTCCGACTGCTTCTTCTGATTCCTCGAGCATGCAGGGTCCAAGTAAGCAGGGAATCGATCGACCAATCCATTTCTATAGAAAATATTGCATATATCTCAAACCGGAAAAAGAAATCAAATCGCCAGAGCTCGGTTCCGCAAGATCAAGATCGAGAGATGGAGAGACGAAAGGGCGAAAGAAAGAAAAAGAAAGAAAGATAAACAGGGGAAGGAGACGATACGAGATGGACAGGGGCCTTGATGTGCTTGACGAGAGTGGAGCTGCACTGGTCGTCCCTGGCCTCCTGCCTGTGGTGCTTCCTCACGTACTCCTCCTCCATCGGCCAGCATCCGCCGCTCATCTGGTCGCACCACCATCAGTCGACTTCCTCTCTCTCTCTGCAACCAGTAACCGCCTCTATCTCTCGGAGAAGAGGAAGCAGCCTCTTCGCCGAAGCTTATCCACTACATTAGTCCTCTTCTGCAATTCCCGATCGCTATAAGCTTGTTGGGTTACACAGGTCTTGTCTGCGCCACCACCCCACCCCACCCCGTCCTTGGAAGGCAAAAAGCGGAAGCCGGAAGGGTTCGATTCTTAACTGTCCGACACGTCTCGTGTTTCTACTGGTTCTCGCGGGCCCATTCCTTTTATACAATGTCGCGATTCCTACCCGATGAGGTACCTGCTCTCCTAACCATGGATCTCACCGGTGGGTCCCAGATTCGTTAGTGACCGGATACGGACGACAACGTCGTGGCTCGTTCTTCTTGTAAATGGACCAGGGAAAGCTGATGCGTGTTCGCTGCAATTTGCGAATCGCTCCGCTCCGTAAGCCGAAGACGACGGGTGGGGCCCGATATACATAAAAAGATTGGACCACGGGATTGGAAGCCCCGTTCTGTTGATCCCTACGGATCAAGTGAATCACTGTGCTTTATGATCGGCCATAAAGCCCTCACTCACGCTCCAGAGATCTCGCAAGCCTCCATGCACGCACATCTCCACCCATCACACGAATAGTGAAGAAGGATGTGACGAAGGCGTTCCACCATTACGTGGCCGCATCTCTGCGGAAGTAGGGACCCGGGGACTTGCCAGGGTCCGCAAACCCACTCACTTCGTCCCGTGGTCCCCTTCTAAAGCACGTGTCGTCACTATCCTTTATACGATGGATCGCAAAACTTTTCCGGCTTCGGTTGTGGGACAAACTTATCTCCAACACGTCACCCGGGAATACCGTAACCCCGATGTTCGTTGATCATCTCCGTGCAATCTAGAAAAAAATAGAATACTATGATACGAGTAAAAAGAATCATTTTGACTTAAGAAAATTGATAGTATTAAAAAGAAAAGAATTGATAAGAATATTTACAAGATACCAAATACACACAGATTCTCTATCTTTCTCTATCTCTATATACCTTACTACATGAACTACGATCCTATTTATAGGACCTAGTGACAACCACCCCAAATCTCAACACTCCTCCTTGATTTATAGTTACATACACCAATTTACGACATAAAATAAACATGCTTTCGAACTGGAAGTGATTTGGTGAGGATATCCGCAACTTGTTCATCCGTTCCACGATACTTCATTGTTATGGCTCCACTTGCTACAAGATCTCGGATGAAATGATAGCGTATCTCTATATGCTTCGTTCTTCCATGAAACGTTGGATTCTTCGTCATTGCAATTGTGGCTTTATTGTCACAAAATATTTCCGTTGCTTCTTTTTGTTCTTGATGAAGATCTTCAAGAAGTCTTCTAAGCCATATTACTTGATAAGCTGCTGATGTTGCGGCTACATATTCTGCTTCCGATGTCGACAATGCAATTGTTGCTTGCTTTTTAGAACTCCAAGATATAGCTCCCGATCCGAGGCTAAAAACATTGCCTGAAGTACTCTCTCGATCATCTAAATCTCCTGCTCAATCACTATCAGTGAAACCAGATAACTTATAATTAAAATTATGAGAATACCAAATACCATAATATGTAGTTCTAACAATATAACGTAGAATTCTTTTAACAGCTCCGAGATGATGTTTGCTTGGGCTATGCATAAACCTGGATACTACACCAATAGGAAATGCAATATCTGGTCGAGTATGAGTTAGATAAATTAAACCTCCAACCAAACTTCTGTAGTATCTTGTATTTGTCAGACTTGTACCATATTAAAATTTCAATTTCTCATTTACATTCATGGGTGTTGCTGCAGCTTTACAATTAATCATGTTAGATTTTTTGAGTAGATCCATTGCATACTTTCTTTATGAAATAAAAATTTCATCTGATCCTTGCTTCACTTCTAACCCAAGAAAATAGTGCAGTAGACCTAGATCTGACATTTCAAACTTATTCATCATGCATTTTTTAAATTCTGTCACCAAAGAGTTAGATGAACCCATATATATAATATCATCAACATAGAGGCAAACCATTAGAATGTTATGTTCACCTTCTTTCTTTAGATAAAGAGTAGGTTCATTATTGCTCCTCTTAAATCCATTTTGAAGATAATAATGATCAATTTTACTGCATCTTGCCCTTGGAGCTTGTTTAAGCCCATAAAGAGCTTTCCTTAGCTTATACACTTTTTCTTCATGTCCTTTAACCAAAAAACCTTCAGGTTGAGCAACAAAAACCTCTTCATGTAAATCTTCATTTAAAAATACAGATTTTACATCAAATTGATAAATAGGCCAACTTAAGTGAGCAGCTAAAGCCAAGAAAGTTCTCACAGTTTCGAATCTAGCAACTGGAGAAAAAGTTTCATCATAATCAATACCTTGTTGCTGTGAATATCCTTTTGCTACAAGCCGAGCTTTATGCTTTTGGATACTTCCATCTGCATTAAATTTTGTTTTGAACACCCATTTTAACTCAATCGCTTTCTTTTCTTTCGGTAGATCCATTAGCTCCCAAGTTTCATTCTTCTTAATTGACTTGATTTCCTCCTTCATTGTTTCTCTCCATTCCTCTTTTTTAACTGCTTCCTCAAAAGTTGTTGGATCTGAAATAAACAAAGCAAATGTTGAGTTATAAATTTCTATCAGTGATCTAAAATTTCTTGGAGGGGTTTCATTTGAGGAATCCGAATTTGAGGTGAGGTTGACGATGAACTTATTGGAGTAGGATCTGTCACTTGATTCTGCGGAGTGTCTAGTTCTGTTGGAATCTACATTTGTGTTTCACCTTTATTGATCTCCCAATTCCAACTTGCCCTTTCATCAAACATAACATTTCTATTAATAATAACTTTGTCACTAACAGGGTTATATAATCGATATGCTTTCGATTGTAAAGAATAACCAATTAAAATGTAGTTTTTAGATTTTTCATCAAGCTTGTGATGATTTTATGAATTCACCAAAGCATAAGCAATACAACCAAAAATTCTTAGATGTCTAACACTTGGTTTCATACCATACTAAGCCTCAAAAGGAGTTCGATTCATAACAGCCTTTGTTGGTGAAATATTCAACAAATAAACTGTTGTTGCAACTGCTTTTGCCCAAAACTGATTTGGAATATGTTTTCC